AATACAATTATAACCTCTTTAAGGCTCGTTATCTAACCTTCTTCAGATTAACTTCATTCAGCATTACCACTTTTGTTGTAACTCTCTACCTTGACTGGCTCTCGATGGGCGAAATTTTAGTATCGAAATCTTAAGTTTCAGAGCAAGTGTTAATGTTTCAAACAAAGACTCACAATATTAATTCCAGTTCTGCTTTGCTAAATCCAGTGGTCTATTTGTTGATTGGTTTGGTCTCAACTTAACTGCCTTTCAACCACTATAGACCTATAAACCTTTATTAATATTAATTCCCTTTCTACTGCATTCTTTTTCAAGGCCTCTCAAATTAACAATAAGGATATTGCAGTATCTGTCTATGTTTCTGAGATGTGGTATTATGTACACTATTTACATTATTCGGACTATTGTCCATTTTTGTCGCCATATTTATTACGTTTCGGTCGTTGTACGCTCCGGCCTTCTTCAGGTGGTTGGAATATCGAACTGAACCATTTATTTCGCTCACTGGGGTAGACTGTTCTAGTTCCACGTGACATGTCTAATGGATGTCAGTTATCTCTTGTTAATTCCCCTCTCCAAGTTCTCCACAGCCTTAACTACTCTTTGGGTCCTGTCACTGGATCTAACCAACGCCTTTATCCACTGCGCCATGTGTCCTTTGAGGACACCTGTGTATGAATTTCTGGGTATCATAAACCTAATGTCTTCAGCAACCATTTTTACCAGTGCTCATATTGCAATTTTTGTTGTTATTATCGCTTTTCTCTGACACTCCTTATTACTGGTTCTCATATTGTATTCATTTTTATGCTTGGTCGGCTCAGGAGATTTTTGTGGCCTAGCATATGTGCTGATTCCTTAAGTTTAAAAATTTTCCAATGATGTTCTTTGTCTATGATCTCAACTTGATCCCACAGAGGGCGGTGATCTCCCTTTTCTCTCCATATGTGGTCAGCCACGCCTGATTTTTCCACTTCCCTTCGCGTTACAGCTTTCTGGTGTTCTTGAAGCCTTAACTTAAGGGGGCGACCTGTCTCTCCTTTATATTCCTTTCTGCACAGGATCGTGTACACACAGTCTTTAGTCATGTTCTCCTCTATGGGGGGAGTCTTACTTGGGAGAGATATTGGCAAAGTGTCATCAAGCTTTTGAAGGTTGTCCTGATATTATATGGACCACAGATCCTTTGTATTTTCTCTGATAACCCCTTCACATAAGGCAGTTTTCTGAGTGTTGTTGTCCTCCTCCTCTTGTACCCGCCTACCCCAGTTTTGGGGGGCTTCTGCCATGTACCCAGGGTAGTTGTTACATTGTAGGGTACTACTTATACTGACCAATTTTTTATCTAATGTCTCTGGGTCCCCACTATGACTCAGTGTTTTAAGCAGCGGACGATCCCTTTCTTTGCACTATATGGATAGCAGGAGTTGAAATTGAGGTACTGTCTAGTGTATGTCAGTTTACGGTATACAGACGTTTTGAACCCATGCTCTGTTTGCGATATTAGAATATCCAGGAATGGAAGTGTGTTGTTACTCTGTTTCTCCATCGTGAACTGTATCGAAGGGTCCAGTAGAATCTGAACATCTTCCTGGTGTGACCTGAGTATGAAGGATATTGCAATTAACTCAATGTTTTCTGTTGCCATAGCAGGATATGATAACACATCTATGAAGTTCAAATACACTATTGTTCAGGGATCAGAGTCATCTTCAGTGGCAGGATAAACTTTTTGTACAGCAAATGAAGTCACATAGAGTGAAAAAAGAAAGCCAAATAATGGTTTTGAATCAGGGTTGTTTTGGGTATAGCTTGATGTTATATGTGGATCAGTGATAGTTTTGGGTACAAGTTTTTTGTTTTTAAATCAGTTATTAGAAATACTCGTTTCTAATTAAAGTTATTTTGTATTCGGCTTCTTTTACAAGTCGGTTATTAGAGTATGCATTTTTATTTTTAGTTGGGAAGTCTGAAGGTTTCTTTTTTTTCAATTTGCAAAATATACTAAAAGGTTTTATGTAATTTTTTGGGGAGTTTTTATAGTTTTATATTTAGGTACAAAGTTTGATTTCCATTAAGAAGTTAAGCAAAGGTTTAACATTTTGAAAGAGTCCTTTTGTATTATTTGCTTAATAATATTTTGTTTGGGTTTGACCAAGATGATGGCAACTTGAGTATTTATTTGACTGTGAGAGGTACTTGACATCTGCTGTATGATGAGAAGTTTCATTTTTTAGTAGATGTGAGATGTGTATGTACTATTCAGAGTCTGGATGAAACTATATCCTACCATTTTATTTTCCTGAAACCACAGTTGAATATCAGATTGTTTTTTTAAGCTCTGAGTCCCATATAGTCAGGGCAGTTCCTGTTGCCAGTGTTCTGAATAAAGAAACTTATTTATCTATGGTAATATGTACATAGGTTGACTGATAAATAGAGTCTCTAATCCTACAAAACTTTTAGACCAGATAAAATAAAATTGGTATCAAAATGACACAAATTTATTTCTCTTCCAAATCAGTTTTTTTTTCAAGTCACCATTTAGTGTTACACATTATTTTTATGTTCTCTCCAAATATTTCTAAGTTTACTTTTGACCTAACTGCACACAGAAACTTCAAATTGCATTGAAAATATTGACCTTTCAACCCTCTTTCAATTTTCAGAATAACCAGAAATCCAATAATACCAAATTTTGTACATGCAACTTCTGATAGACCGTACTTGTCAGTCAAACCTCATAAATATAGAGAGAAAGTAAAAGTACTCCCATCTGCTTGGGTGTTTAGCTAATCCCTGTTGCAGATACTCGTTCAGGCACATTCATTTCAGTTCAACACCCACAAGGAGTTTCTGGTAAAGAGTGTATAATCTGGTGTAGTTTAACAAGGTGACAATGACTTGTGACTTCAGCTTACACAAAAAGCTATTGATGGCTTCCAAACGGTTCCATCTACCCAATTTCACTCACATAGTTTGGATCAACCAGTAGGATGATTTTCAGGCAGTTCACAACAGTGCCACATGGAGACATTGTCTTCCCAGACTGAGATTATCAAGTTACTCTGTTGACAAATTGACAATGTTGAGACTAAAACCAGTTTGATGGTTAGAATGTTCTAACCACTCTCTCTCATTATATATATATATATATATATATATATATATATATATATATATATATATATATATATATATATATATATATACACACACAGTATAGAAAAGCACTAAAATTGCCTTCCTTTCTGCTGTGTGACGATGGCCTAGGGTTAAGGTGTCTGGTTGATGTGAAATCAGCTGGGTTTCAATCTCAGCTTGAAGCAATCAGATGTCTAGCCACACTGAGGAACTGTGATACAGCAAAACCTTGTCTGTGGAGATATATATATATATATATATATATAAGTGAACATTGAAGTCAACACTTAGGTGACAGGATGTTTCATGCTAGATGCCATCGTCAGGCCACGTGTTGTTTTTTTTTTCTTGGCTTTTTATATATACAGATCAGTGATGCATTGTAGGTAGTTTATTTTGGCAGTTATTTTGACGGAAGTCATTTATTTTTTTACAAGCAAAATAAATTAACCCAAATAAATAAACGGCTTCCGGCAAAATAACTGCCAAAATAGACTACCCACAATGCACCACTGACGTGTATATATAAATAGCCAAGGGAAAAAAAAAAAAAACAAAAACAAACAACACATGTGGCCTGACAATTGACGCAATTGTCAGGCCACGTGTTGTTTTTTTTTCCTTGGCTTTTTTTTTCCTAGCATGAAACAGCCTGTTGCCTCTGAGAGTTGACTTCAATATTCACTTTTATATTTAGACATGCTCTATCTCTGATATTGAGCACTTTATCCCATAAATATAGCACACATTAAGACTATATTTCTTTTTTATATATATATAAAGAAATGATGCTAGCTTCACCTCATATTTGTACAGAATTATTATTATTATAAAAAAAAAAAAAAAAAAAAAAAAAAAAAGTATAGACAGTAAAAAAAATATTATCTGAAGAATATACAAGATCTGTATGGAAAGTATCTTGAACTGGTTGCATGGCCTTGATTTCACTTGGTAACCGATCAGAGAAGATCTTAATGTGACTGCATGAACAAATACTCTTCTGTGGAGTTACTCCATTATCAATGAGCTTCTGTATTGTGCAATCAGAGCAAATACACCTTGAAGGTTGTTTAAAACTTGATTATTTATCTGCAGAAAATAGTCAAATGAACAAAGCCCAGATAGAATTTTACTATCCATGGTCTAAACATGGCCAATAATCCATTGAAAGCAGAACATTTAAAAATATTGCAAGATGACAGTGTGAGAATTAGAGGATTCCATGGATGCCTGGTAACAACCAGAAAGAAAACATTGCATCATGCAAGCCTGTTAGAGACCCTACAATACAGATTCGTCTTCCTGCAATTTCCTGGCTTTTACCAAAGATGAAAATTACTGTTGAAAAAAAGGGAAGTTTAGATTAGACAAGATTAAGAACCTGACAAGTTTGGTGAAAGACATTATTTTCGAAAGTTGAATAGTTGATAAGGAGTACTTTGAAGGAAACTAAGGCACTACTGGCCTAAAGTAAGATGTTGGATCGGTGTTTGGTGTTTTTTAGTAGGTGGCATTTGAACACTGATTTTGTTTCGTGTGAAACTTATGACATGCATAGATATTGTGAAAGGTGACATTCAACATATTTTTCTATACAATTTATCGTTGAATTGTGAATTTTAACTTTCTCCATCAAAAATAAAAATATGGGAAAAACAAGATGAATTTTCATCATTTTGTTCTCTTCTATTATAACAGATACAAAGAGATATATGATGGTAAACTAGGCTTTTTATTTTGCGGGGGGGAGTTTAAATCAAAGGACAAAACAGAACATTTTTATAATAAACATAAGATTTTATTGTTATTATAATTATTTCATGAAAAAGCTTCCTCCAACCCCAATAATGAAAACATTAAAAAGAGTAAAGAGAAGCCATTAAATTAAGAAAAGTGGTCACTCTACTGTCCGGCAGTGTTCCGGGCCTCAACACTCTACAGCTGGGATACAGGGCAAAGGTCAGGGAGAAGGGGAGGGAGTCAAGTCCAGTGCACCAGCCTGTCAGTCAAGAATTGGGAAGGGAAAGGGAGTGGGTCAGGCAGTAGGTGGATAAGTATGAGTGGAGTGGGATGGGTGTGGTCAGGATTGGAACCCTTAGGCAAGGTGAGGGTAGGAGAATCAGTCGGTCAGTTGGTTAGTCACTGGATGACCAGCTATGGCTGCGACTGGAACTGCTGCTCTTGCGTCTCCGTCTGGAACCTCCACCACCACCGCCGCCACCTCCTGCACCACTCCCACCTCCCCCTCCAGCCCCACTGCCACCACCACTTCTTCTCTGTCTTCGCCTATGACCACTGCTGCTGCTCCGTTTGTCCCTGGTGTTATGTCGGCGTGATCGTGAGCTGCTTCGAGAATATGACCGGCCACGACTAGAGGAGCGGCTGGAACTGAAAGGAGTGACAATAAAAACATGGTAGATAAATATCTATATGGGTCATATCAAGTATAACCATTAATTTATGGTTAAAAGAGAAAGAAAAAAGATACAGTGATAAAAAAAGAGACAAAAAGAAAAAAATTTCTGATATTGGAAATAGAAAATTATAATTTTCTATAAAATCTGACATGAGACATTATCATGAAGGAAAATTATTGTTGCTTACCACAGTTTCCTAAGTTGAATACCACTGAATATTTTAGCAGGGTGAATTCAAAATAAACAAGTAATTTAAATCTTAACCTCATATCATACGACATAACCTTTCATTGATGACAATATGATGAGAACATTGAGCAAGATGAGATGGTGGCAGGAAGACAACTGTTGATGAGTTTGCAACACACACGGAAATTAGTAATAAAACATAATAAAATGAAAAATCCAGCCCCCCTCACCCGACCTAAAAAATAGAAAAAAATTTGTATAGAGACTCCTTCTTTTGTTCTTAGCACAAAAACCTTTTCTTTTCCAAGGCATGAAAATAAATGAATGGTATCATTACACAACTAACAGAAAGCTTTCTGCAGCCAAACTGATACTAAATGTATCACAGCATATTCCTTTGGACCATGCCAGAAAGGTTGAGATGAGGAAACTTTGGGCTGAGATCCTGCACTGAGCACCTCTGAAATCCATGTCAGCTGCTAACCAGATTTCCTGATTCCAAAGCTTCAAACCCAGCCCTCTCGAAGTTTACACAAGGCCCAGTACCACTCTAGAGATTGATGCAAGAAGGGTTAATTTCTGTTGTACCAAAACAATATAAACCAATTGAAAATTAACCCCATGAATCTCTTGTTTTATTTTTTCATTGTGAAGATATTTTTTTCCTCAATATAGAACCCACCATGGCTTGAACCAGTGCCTTGAGACTACAATCTTTGGATTTTCCACTGCTCTGAGATCAAGAACAGTGTGGACAGAGTTGGTGTGGATTGAAGTGGCCAGCAACCAACAACCAGCATTGGCCAGCACAGAGTTAACCCTATGGTTAAAATGTCATTTTAAGATCATGAGGACTGGAGAACTAATATGGTTACACCACTAGGTGTAGGCAGCAGTGAAAGGTATTATATCTGAGAAAATGTGGATGAGACCGTATTAATTATATATGTGAAAAGAAAATCAAATTTATTCAGTAGTGAACTCTATGAAGATTTTATAACATTTTCTTCAGCAATTATTCTCATACAGAAATAAATAAACAGCCTTATTCTTCTGATCACTTAGAAACCAATGAGGAAAAAAAAAAAAAAAAACTCCTTATGGGTCATTTAATGCCAAAATTTAATTTTATTGGGAGCTTTGAGTAATAAAAATATGTTATTCTGTTTTCACAATTGAATACATGGTAGATGGCACTCAGCTTTTGTGCACATACATGTTTGTGTGGACATGATTACTAGAGGCAGTGTATTGTGGTTTTGTTGAAGTGATATTTTGGAAACAAATTGAGTTCTTCAAGAAAGTGTTGGATATTATATGGATTAATGCCATGAAAATTCTTTCATGTTTGTTGGTTAATTTTGTTTAGTGGCATATCAACCTTTATGGGTTATTTAATACCAAAATCTAAATATTTTGAACATAATTTTATGGCTTCAACTAAATATATTTTAAATGTAATTGTATACCTTCAAATACAGATAAAATGTATTGCTGGTCATTTTGCTATAAATAGGTACTTTTGATAAATTTTTTTATGTATAAAAATTTATTGCTGGTAATTTTACTATAATAATTTATTTTTATACCTTCATATTGTTTTATTTTTGTTTGGTGCAGGGGGGGGTCTCTATTTGCTCATAGCTGGGACCCTAACAGATGCTACCAGCGTGAGCCAGGGCAGACCTGGGAACAACAACATTTAAGGAGTCTATTGAAAAGAGATTATCTTGCTAGTTGTTCAGAAATATAGGAAAACTGATGAAAGTAATTAATCTAAATATTTAAATAATCTGCATATGTAGATCCAATGTCGAGCATTCTTCTCTCATAAATAAAAAAAATTTTAAACAAATATTGCAGAAAAATCATTACCGTCTTCGAGAATTACTGCGGCTTGGAGAATCTCGCCTGCGACGATTCCTGCAAATAAATTCAGTTTTCAAGTTTCAAAAACAAAATAAACAAGGTCTCGGTGAGAAAAAGTTTAAGACAAGTGAAATAACCTTTATCAGATTCTATCAAAATAACTAAAGCAATTTCCAACAAACTATATTGTTGCAGGTCTTGAACAGAACCCTAATAAGACAATCTAAACTTCAATCAGTGAAGAATGAAAAGTTAAATTCAGTGTGTGGTGGGTGGAGTGGAGAGAAAGAAAGAAAGAAGTGTCAAATGGATGGTTTTTCCATTGATGCTGCTATTATCTTAACTTCCTTCACTCCTCGAGAATGTTTGTTTTAAAAAGTAATTAGAATTGCAATAAAACCTAAACATATGATGAAAATGAATTTATACATCTTTTTTCTTGAGAATTGACTAATTGATTAATAATAAACAATTTATTCATTAGATTGTTTATGTACATTATTGAATTGTTTACTGGAATGGTTAGCAAAACATTGGTTAATTGCCAATCAATTCGAATTTTATAAATGGTAAATAAAGATTTCCTTATAGTTGATTCACTTATTTTAATAATTTAGTAAATGTTTACAAATTCATGAATAAAAAAATTAATTTTCATATTTCTTGATAAATTGGTAAATGATAAATATTGCATTGTATTAGTTTTAAAAATGCTGTAAATATAAAATTAGTCTTCTAAATAAACAATCTAATAAATAAATTGATTAATATTTTAGTTGTAAATTCTCGAGAACAAAAAAAGATGTATTGTGATACTGGGACTTCAGAAGGTTAATCAAACAAAAAAAGGAAAGGAAGGAAAAGGGGAAGAGGACAGAAACTATTAACTAGATGATAATTGTTGAAGTTTACAGAAAGGTAGATTAAAAAGTTGAGAAGAATATTAAAAATGAAATGTGTTGAAAAATTATGTTTCGAAATAGATGAGGAAAACTGAACCCAAATTTAACTAGACAGAATTCAGTAAGATTGAGGAAAACCAAGACTGCTTGTCCCTCCCCACTTCCTGTAGATAAGAGACCATTAATGTATCCTCAAAGACATCAAATAGAAAATCATGTTTCTGATAAGGAAACTCAGGTGGTCACCAAAATAACATTTACAATTCTTCTGAACAAAGAGCCTGAAAAAATATCTGGTTTGAATCAACCTCCCAAAAGAAAAATATCCCTACAAAAATAGAGATAGCCTGACAGATTCATTTTAATTTCTGTGACATCTCTCAAAAATTTTGTATCTGACACTAATTCAGGTTCTTTTGCATACAAGTTATAGAGAAAAATTAATTACTAGCTTGGAGTGACCATAGGCAAAAAGGCTGTGTGGTCTTGTTAACAGAAAGATTTTTTTTTTTTCATTATTATTATTACTAAAGTGATTAGGAATATTTTTTTCTTTTCCTGTCCACACAAAACAACTCTTGAGATTGGCTGGTGGGGAGGAGGAATGAGTGCAAATCTGGATGGGCTCCAAGCAAGTCCCTGGCTTTAAGAAATCACAGCATGAGACAAGCTGATAAAGAAAGATTAATGACTAGAAATTTCCTTTTCGCCTACAGATTCTGAAAATTTGGATTTGTCACGGGAATGGTGTGGTGGCCCTTGGAATGGGCTAAGAAAGTGGGAGAAGGAAAAAAGTGAGAGAGAGATTAGCTCTGCCTATATGGAGCAATGGTGCAAGGTGGTGCATGAAGGGAGTTAAGAGGCGGCTTGATTCCTCTGACTACTCTCAAAAGGGGTCTAGACAACACCTAAATTTGGAAAATCACTCAAGTAAACATATTTTGAATATATGGAATTTTTGAAAAAGTTTGATGTTAAGGGTGAAAGATAACCAAATCCAAACCCTGGTCAATCCCACTCCTGTCAGATGCAGGATTCCATATAAGCTGGAGGTGTGGACAACTAAGAGAATCCCCATATTACTGCTACTGGAATCTACATCATTTGCCAAGATATCCTGACCAAGACCTTGTGCCAGCTCTGAAGACCAGAACTTAAAAATTTAAATTAGTATTAACACAAGCTGCAAATTCTAAAAAGGTATTTCAGTGTTATTTTATTATAACAGTAAATGGAAATGGTTAAAACCACTGTCAACAACAGATCATATTATAAACCAAATTGTGGTTATATTTTTAACCAGAGTTAATTCTTTATTCCAAAGAATTTTTTGTGTAGTTCCTAACCATCAACCTGTTCTTCACTCCAGTTTGCTTCACCAGCAATTTTCTCACCCTCCAAGATCAAAAGTATAATGTGGCAGAGGAGTGAAGGGTCACAAAGCAGACAAGCGCCAGCTAGATTAAGTGGAATTGTGCTCTTCAGCATAATAAGTGACACATCAGCAACACAGTAATGAATAAGGAGTAGGCTAGATGGTAACCACGGTGGTCTGAAGGTTATGAAGACCAACTCTGGAGATGCAGGGTTACAGCATAAATTTACTTTCATCATATGTTTAGGTTTTATTACAATTCTAATCATTGCTTTTTAAAACAATAAACAGTGCCGAGGAATGAAGGTAGCTAAAAAATGATAGCAGTATCAATGGAAAGACCAATCTTTTTGAGAATCCGTTTTTGTTTTTTCTTGACACAAAGTCTACCAAAAGTACAATCAATGATTAGGATTTGTTAATCTATTAAAATGTGGCAGAAATTTCTCTCATTCACAGTTGAGGCATATAAGTACAATGATGGAAAATCCCTGTCACTTAATGGTTGTTTGTACAGATTGTCCCAATTACTACTCTCCCATAAAGTATGTGGCAAGGAGGGACTCCAAAATATCTGAGCCATACAGGAAATGCCCTTAAAAAAAAAAAAAAAAAAAAAAAAAAAAAGGTCCTGGTGGGAGACAGATTTGTCAAATTAATAGATTCCATATTTAAAACCCAAAAGCAAAACTATTCTCAATATGTACCAATGTACATTCACCACTTATTCTATCAACCTTTGACAAACAAAAGTATTAACCATTATTTTAAAAATTAATTCTTACTTTCATTTTTTTTTTATCACAACTTTTACTCAGACTACAACCTATTTAAAAAAAAAAAAAAAAAAAAAAAAAAAGTTCCACACTTGAGATTTGAACCCATGTTCACATTGCACCTTGGTCCTACATATGTAGAGGTTTATCCCTTGTTTCCTGTTTAAAAGGAACCAGAAACCCAATCCTAAAGTTTTTTTTTCTTCTTTCACGTCCAATTGAAAAAATATCTTTGCACTAGAGTATCCAAATATGCCCTTGGCTTCCCTGAAGTGAAACAGATACTGAATCTCACCAGTTGCTTATCCTTTATTTCCCATCCTGTGTTTTGTAGATTTACAGCAAAGTTAAGATAAAAAGCAAGTAAAATACATTCAGATGAAAGTAAATACTAGTCAAAATTAATAATAATAATAATGGCTGACAGTGTTTCATCTAATAGCCTTGATTTCCAATCCTCTGCTGTTTACTTACTAGTGTAGATTGATGGAATGAGTAAAAGTTGTAATAAAAAGCAAGTAAAAATGAAGCTGAAATAACTAGTGAAAAAAGGAATAATAATGGTTGACAATGTTTCATCTGATAAAAAAAAATAATAAAAGCCAATACTTCATTAAAATATTATGCAAAATATAAGGTAGATATAAAAAAATGAAGATAACATTAAAATGCAAGACAAGTGATTTTGTACTTCAACAGAAAAGAAATAAGGTAAGGAAGTCAAGTGAGTTATATTATATGTTAAATTGATAAATTTTTAATCTAAGCAAAAAGACAGCTTTTAAGATGATGAGTAGTAATTCTCCTTAGTGTGTTTCTATAAAGAAAAGTAAAAAATAAAATTTAGCTCACTTTGATGTGTCTCTGGAGGGGCTACGTTTGTATTTGGAGGCTGAAGATGAGGGTGGAGATCTGTGGCGATATGGAGGTCCCCTAATAAATGAAGAAATAAAAATTAGATCTGCAAGGGTTTGTTACAAAAACAAATACCATTTATTCTTCACATCAGATTCTCTCTCAACATACACAAAAGAAACATCTATTTTAACAAACTCAAAATCGTAGGATATTTAATGCACCAATTTCACCGGCTATTTTTTTTTTTTTTCATTTCTTGTTTAATATTGGAAAAGAAAAATATTAAAAAGATGGGAATATCAAGTGAAGTTGACGCCCATAAATACCTAGAAATATTTTCTGACTGAAAAAGATTTTCATAACGAGGGAAATGAACAAAATGCTCTTTAAGGAGATATGGTGGATAGTGGCTTGGACTGAGAAATCAGAGAGTTGGGTTCAAATTTTTTTCATTATCTTTCACTCCCAGTAGCCCATTACATCTTAGTGGCATTGCTGCAGTGCTTGGGGGTGAAGTGATCAAAAAAAAAAAAAGATAATGTATAAATATACATTAGTATAGACTACAGTGGAGACAATTAGGATTCATATTCTGTAAAGAACCTGCAACACAATGAACCTGCAGCATCATAAGAATTTTGACAAAAAAAAAAAAAAAAAAAAAAAAAAGGCATATGACTGTCTACAATTGTAGCATCCTAATTGAAAATCATTATTGTAACTCGAGGGCATTTAAGACTCGCCCATAATCTTACCATTTAATATTACAATATTATGCAGTTAGCTTATATAGATTCACAGCCTATTGAATGATATGTTTGTTTAACGGCATAATTTATTATGAGTCATTTAATACCAAAATTTAATTTTCTTAGGAGCTTTGAAGTAATAGAAATATGATATGTTGTTATTTTGCCTTCAGAATTGAATACATGGTAAATGATACTCAGCTTTTGTGTATATACATATTTGTGTGGACATGATTACTAGAGGTGGTGATATGTGTATTTTATGTTGAAGTTATATTCTGGAATACAGTTTGATTTCTTTAAGAAATTGTCAGATAAAAAAGTTCTTCCATGCCAGCTGTTTGGTTGGTTGATTTTGTTTAGCGGTATATCAAACTATATGCGTTATTTCATGCTGAAATCTAAATATATTGATTGGCTTGGTTGGTTGATTTTGTTTAGCGGCATATCAATCTCTATGGGTTATTTAATGCTGAAATCTAAATATTTTGAACACAATTGTATGCCTTCAACTATAAACATATATTTTTGGTTATTCTAGTATAAATATGTATTATCTATAATTTTTATACTAGTGTTTTGTTTGGGGGGTTCACTATTTTCCTATAGCTGGGACCCTAACATCCCAGATCAAGCTGTACCTGGGAACAACAGCCATTAAGAAATGTTTTCATGCTCCTCAAAACCTCCTGATCAGGTCTTGCTGCTGGATTTAGTTTAGTTTGCCATACCCATAACTTGTGTAGTCTATGGCATCAGGGGGAACAAGTCTTTAAGGTTTATACATTCTCAAAAATAACAGCACTAATTGAAAGCATATTAAACTTAAATCCCTCAGGGAAATATTGCTATTAATACTGAACTTCAAACTTTTAGATTTGTTGTTAAGACATTATTTTTTTTTTTTTTTTTTTTTTTTTTTTTTTTAAATTCAAGAAATATTTTTTGTATTACTGTTTGAAATATGAACTTTAGTGAACCAAGACAGAATTCAATCACTAAATCTACTATCTATATTTCTCATGTGGTCTGTCTGTGTGTCTGTCGTGGGCGTTGTTACCTCGCCCAGGCCACATTTCTCACCCGATTTCAATGCGGTTTTCAACACAAGTTTGCAAATGGCTGCCGTAAGGACATGGCGGAGCCCGATTTTTGAGTTCGGAATCAGGTTTCGAAAAAAATCGATAATCGAAAAAATTCTGCTTACAGAAGGAATGATTGCATTTCAACCAAATTTGACACCCTAATCTGACACTTAGAGTCTACCATTAGAAGTGATGTCCAGAAGTTTCATGACCACGGACCCCTAAACAGTGCGGAAAATCGATAAAACCCAAAAACCGATACGTCCAGATTGTGTCTGAACCGCATGTCGGTTTTTAGCGAAAACTGAGCGGATTTATGAAGAGGCCATTGGGAGTCATCATGTGAAGTTTCAACTCTGAGCAACCCCCAAACAGAGTGCAAATTGACAATCAGTCAACCATTAAAAATGTTTTTTCCGGTTTTTTAAAGCTGATCGTATTGTGTTTATTTTGTTTAGTTCTTTTTTTGTAACAGATTTAATGTTTACTATAGAGCTTAGAAAAAGTTGGCAGTGTGATATAGGCAAGAAGTAAGGCATGTAACAACATCAGCACAGCAAAGGGCACTCCTCTAAAGACAAGGAAGGGCAAAAATATTTTAAGTCAAGTGATAGCAATTGCTGTCTTAGTCATACTATTTTTGAATCAAGCACGGGCAGTGCCAGGCCATGCTGCTAGTTTAAGATATAACTTAATTCTAAAGTCAGCACGAGGACATCACCTACCTGCTTCTTGACCGTGAAGAACGTCGCCTCCTCCATCTTGGTGAGGGATAACTACTACCTTTTCCATATAGCCGGCCTGATCGGGGAGGTGGAGGTGAATATTGCCGAGAGGAACGAATCACCCGACTTGAAGATCTATTGTAGCGTGACGATGAGTAAGATGGTGGGGGTGAATGGTTTCGCCGCCAGCGCACAGGTGACACTCTGCTTGGAGAACGAAAGTGTCTGCGAGGAGAACGTGGAGAACGGCTCCTTGACTTACTGCTGCTCTTGTGGCGGCTTGAGCGACGTTTCCGGGTTGATTTCTTGGGAGAGCGGCTCGAGCTCCGGGTGCTTGAACGCTTCGCTGGTGCTGCAGTGGTTGACTGTTGTTGCTGTTCCCTATCATCCACATTTTTGGGGGGTTTACTTGCCTGTGGGCTGCCCACACTGTTTATATCTTGAAGTGCTGTAGCGCTGCTCTTCTCTGGTGCATCGGCCTCACCTCCTGCCCCATGATCAGATTCACTAGAAGCAGATTCCGGCCTAACTTGCAGGACCTCTGAAGGCTTCTCCAAAACAGAAGGTAAGGTTTCTGCTGTTATTGGTGGCGCAGAATCAGGTTTCAAGCTTGAGGTTTGATCAGGGCTACAAGTGGTTGTTGTTACTGAAGGTAATGAGGCTACCACAGTTGTTGATGTTTCTTTGGGCTCAGTTTCCTCCTTGGCAGTGGTACCTGGTTTTGCTAGGGAGGGGCCATCAGGAGAAGGAGGGGAACTTGGCTGTGGTGGTTTCACTGACTGAGCTAAGACACTCTGAGCATTGTTACTGTTATCATCATCAGTAGATGGCAAAGAGACATTGGAAGCTGCAGTAACTGAACCTGACAGAACTGGGGCAGGCTGTATTGAAGGAGGTAATGGAACATTCTTTAGGCCACAAGCAGGTTCTGGAGGGGTGGGGATACTGGCCAGTAAAGCTGAGGAATTGAGTCTAGAAAAAGAAAAACAGAGTTAAATGTAAATAAAATGTCTATGTATAAAAATATATTTTTTTATCACTTGTACAGTGATTCACTGTAGAAAAAAAAATATCACTATAGAGCAATAGTTAGTAAAGCTCATGTGAGCACTTTCAGCTATTTTTTTAGCCATTATCAAGGAGAAATTTTATTTTTAACCGAACGTGAGGGTTTTTTTTCTTTGTTTATTTCTGTGTCTAAGGTTATAGGAATGTTTTATTTTCCAAACACAGCACATTGTGGCCATGTTCATAATGTTACCAAGTGTTGGCCTTTTCTTTTTTATTATTACTGCTTCCATTATTTCTAACCTTTTTATATGTGGATGAGGCTATTTATTATACTTGTAATTTATACTAGTATGTTGCAGATGGACTTTGGTAGGTTTCTGTGTGTGTTTAAATGAGTCCTAATTGAGCTATGGTCAGGTAGGTGTTAAAAAAAAAAAATCATCCTTGATAATGGCTAAAAGAATTGCCGAAAGTGCCTGGATATGCAGAACTTTTGGACAGATTTTACATACTTTGTGTCCAGAAAAGAAAACACTTGTACGAACACAAGAAAATGAAATAAAAAGCTTAATCGTAGTACCTTGTCAGTCATCTTAAGGAGCAAATGTTTTCCTTCTTGTCCCTTTTTTTTTATGATAATAATAATAATATATATATATATATATATATATATAAAGGAATTAATGGATTTACTTCCATAATCCCAACCCACTTCCACAATTCTGATCACAGTGGGGACTTTTTGGTCAAGCTGAGAACTTTACAGTACCCACCTTTACATATAAATTGTATATAGTGAGAATTTTCTGGGTAGAAGAGAATGTAGAAAGATTTACATCCAGAGGATATAGAATCTAACGGCTTTGGTGGGTTGGGTGGAACAAATATGAAAGCACCTAGTTTTTGCCACCAATGTCAGGTTTACATAGCTCATACCATAATGTATAGCCTTGTATATTTGTTTGACTACAACTTGCTATGAGCAGGTAGCAGAAAGATTTTCTACAGAAATAATGAGAAAACAAATTTTTAGATTTTTTTTTTGTTAAATTGAAAAAAGACGGAAAAAAATACTGACTTTGAAAACTGAGCAGTAGCTTCCATTACTTGTTCAACAGCAGGCAGTGGGGGTGATGTCAACATTGGTGTTGGGATATGGCTGGTCGGAATTGCTTCCTGACTGGTTTCATTTGAAGGAAGCGGTCGAACAGCAGAAGGGCCAACCTCAGGTGGTAACTACAAAGAGTAAATATTTACCAATAGGCAAAAACATTTCAAGAGAGAGACAAAAATATAACAGATCATTTTAACAAGTCGCCTTTGTTGTTTTAATTTAAAAACACTCAAGTAGAATTAGTTCCAAAAACCAAGAGCATTGATAATTCTTTTTTTATTATTATTATAAATAAAGAAAAACATTATCCATTTACAAAAGTAATTTATTTTTAATGAGTAGATCTAAATTTTTCATTGTGATGACTATTTACATGACAGATGATAAAGGAAAAAAAAAAGCAAAGATATAATTTCATACAATGTGCTTTGATTCAGATGAAAAGTGGAGCAAGTGAGCATATGATGTAATTTGGGTGATAAAGAAATGAAGTATGGACTTATGAAGAGAATTTGGAAAAATTTTTATCAGTTTAAAATCTGTTCAAAGATTAAGAATTTTACCACAAATTTATTTAGTCTATATTATTATTGGAATTTTGACAAAATAAATCAATAAAAAAATAAATGATCTTTAATACTTTTTTAGACATTGCATTTATGTAATTTTAAAATAATAAGTAACCAAAAAAAATCTTACACATGCACACACAAACTCCAAAACATCCCATGATTTGAATCCTTACATTATAAATCTGGATATTGATGCTTATTCTGTTATTTCTCCAGTCTATTCCTTAGACTTCAATAACAGATAATTTTGCATTAAAATAGAAATAAACAAAAACGTCCCTTAACTTCTGCTAGAAATACAATTGAAACAATTAATTTTACTGAAAATCTATCTTTAAATCTTTAAAAAAAATTTATGTTTAATTGCGAGAAAATGGTTAAACATTTTACCATCCTGTTATTTCTCAAAACAACAAAATTAATTCCAGAAACAAAAATAACCATAAAACCATTTTTTAAATTAAAAATATATAAATAAAAACTAGAACAAATAAGTCACATATTCAATTAAGTCACCTTAACATAGGTACCTCCACGAGATCGCTAAAAAAAGAGCATAGCATGATGAAAAAGACGCCAAACTTGACGAAAACAAAATTTTATCGTCTAAATGTTTGTTATTATTAAGAGGAACGGTCAAAAGTATTTTTGGGGTATTTTTTTCCATTTTTTAATCGTTCTAGCACATCCGAAATTTTCGTTAAAAATCTTTTTTTTTTGATTCAGCAAAATTGACCATTTTTTTCCATTTTAAAAAAACTGGAAATCTGACTTTGAAATTTTTTAAATATCAATTATCATTTTTCAAAACTTATTTTAAGAAAATCAGAAATTATAATGTTTATTTAAAATATTTTGAACCAAACTTAACTTAGCTTTTTGTGCCAAAAAGATGTAATTTGAAAATAAAACAAAGCAGGTCATAAACTTTCGCGTCTCTTGACATGTGATGAATGATGTATTTACGAATTCCATGAGGCTAATTTGTTCTACAGAAGGAGAAAAGTGAAATAATTTACATTTACGTGAACAAATTATTTACCCGTTATTTTTAACGAAAACTTTCAGCGGTCTAATTTTTTTTTTTTTTTTTGTACTTAGCTTTCACCTTTACGTTTATGATGCTTTATCGGAAATACATTGTAAAGAAATTAAAAATAAAACTGTTAAGAGTGACATTAAATTTCATATTTCTTAAGAAAGGTATCTAATTAATTTATAGGTACCTTTCTTATGTAGTTTTATCAGAATTGTACATAAAATACTATAATTTTATGTACATTTATTACATTCTACTGTTATTTGTATTTGCATTCATTTTATTATTAATTTTGATATTTCATTTATGGAAAAATGTCGTAACTGAGATTAATATAAAATAAGATCATATAAATTTCATAAGATGATACTGATACTTGTAGGTACCCTTCTCAGTTGAAATTGAAAATCAAATTAACTTCTCCACACGTGTTTCACAAAAGTAAAGGCCTTAACAGCAGAGAACAATGCTTAACTCAAATAACGCATAACTTAATTATATTCTGTTGGTCTTCCGTATTTTATAATTACAGCTCGATAATAAGCACAAAATTACATTTCTTAATTACTGGGGATCTTCTGATTAGTCAAAAAATGATACAATTTACAACGCGCTAAAAAGGAAAGGACACTTATGAAAGCCGATGCGGCTTTTAACTAATTTTATAATATTTTAACAACTTAAATGTAAAATCTATTATAATTAATGAAATAACAAATAATTGTATTAAAAATTCATTTTCATCGAAAAAATTTTTTTGCTTTCAGAAAATATTGTCCATATTCATAAAAACAACTAAAAGCAAATAAAAGCATTTGAAATTAAATAATATCTTTGTTTTATTGAGTTTTGTATGTTACAATTCAGAGCTGATTTTCAGGTACTGCGTATCCAATTAAAAAAAAAAAAAAACATGATTTGCATTCCTCAAAGCCCTGTGCTTTTAATTATTGTAATCACTAAAACCGATGCGATTGAATTTCTAGCGTTTTCATAAAATTAGTTATGGGGGGTAATAAATATTTTTAAAAATATTTCTACCATGACTTTCATAAAAAAACATATTTATAATAATTTCAATCATCTGTGAATAGTTCTGAAAGTTTCATTAACATCCGATAATTATTTCTATTTTTGCACGATTTTTCAAATTAATGTGTGTCATAAAAAAAAAACGTGCTAAAATTGTCTGTTATTTACTAGTTCTGCTGATACAAATAGAAAAAGGTTTTTTTTAATCAAAATTTAGAATGTTCTAAAAAGAAGGAAAATTTTTAAAATAATTAAAAAAAAAAACTTTGGTCTTTCCTCTTAATAATAACATAAGCATTTAGACAATAAAATTTAGTTTTCGGCAAGGTTGGCGTCTTTTTCATCAAGCTATGCTCTTTTTTTAGCGATTTCGTGGAGGTACCTACCTTAACAGGTATGGATATAATCAATTAAGCTCACCTGAATGTTATGGAGATTTACTTCTTCATCATGATCCACGTCTTCTGGATCAGGAGGCGGTTGCCATTTAAATTTTTCCTGTAAATAAAAAAAAAAAAAAAATTAAGTGAATGCAAATTCTATTTCAATAACAGGAAATGCAGATTTTTTTTTTTTCATTTTGTTAAAGTGAAAATTCATTAGCAGACAAACACAACTGATGGGGAAATTACTAGGTACATGCAAAAAGTTCTCAGACCAACCTAGAAGTGCTCCAAAAAATTCTAATGCCTGATCCATTTGTAAAGGGAGATGGGTTGAAAACTTTTCAGCACTTTTTTGGAAAAACTAAAAATGCCTGAGAGTAAACAAGATACAGTCGGTCATGTAAATTGTAAGCATAAGCCCAAATATCTTTATCCAAGAAACTAAGTAGATAGGATAGTTTTTAGTTTTTATTTTTTGAAATGTCATATCCCTATAGAACATAGGGTATTGAGGCTCTTCAAATATTCCTTTTCTTTATTAACTGTGAATTGCTAGGATTTCTTGAGAAATATAGTGGAGTCATTTCACATTAACTTCTTCATTCAGTGTTGCCTTTCACTTAGCTCCCACCCAAGGCTAAAGAGGCCAAAAATAGAGTCAGGCCTTTCCCAAGGACATTAGTGCAAAATTGAATGTAACAAGATTTGGTCAGAATTTGTAGTCAGCTCACTAATTTCATTTTCCACACTGATAAATGTTATGCTACGGAAATGCTCTGATAAATTATTCCTTTGTTCAAGTACTTTTTTTATCATCTCAGTCATTTTCAAGAACCATAACCATATAATCTCACCACTGGCAATTTTAAACTTTCATTTTTGTAAAGAATACCAGGATGTAGCCAATGAAATCTTGCCCACCCCACACACACACTACATGTTTCTTGAAAATAACTGAAAAGGTTGAAAGTACTTCAAATAATAAAATCTTTGTTGCCAGTGTTTTCATTGACAAAGAAAAACATGCAAGTCCTTCCAAATAATTAACCTTTTTTTACTTTTATTTTAGAAACAGTTTGATGGAAATTTTAACCCAGATTAAGAAGATATACTAAATATAGATTAAATGTGTATATATCCAATAAAGAGATTAAAAGACTGAAGTAAAAGCTGATATCATCACTAATTGTAAATAACTATTTTTTTCTGGATAAAATACATTAAGTCAAGAATGAAAGTTGCTGGACCTTTGAGGTAGGTCACTGCAAAATTCCAATGCATACATATTAGGTTGTCACACATGAAATGACGCACTTTAAAGGAAATTGATAAAATGCTTCTGAAATGTTAAATAACTAATTTATTTAGATGAAATAGGTACCATGTTGATGAATGACTGTTCTCCAACCTACCTCTAAATTCTTGATCCCATCTATAAAAAAATTCTCATCCTTTGAGGTAAACAGATGCTTTGATTACCTCTTCCTTTTTTTGTATATAAAAAGCTCAAAATGCTTAAATAAATGATAATCAGTAGGAGAGATATCAAGTGAATATGGAAGATGAGGCAAAAAAAAAAAAAAGACTATGCAACTATTGGACAGTTGATGGAGAAGCATGTGGCAAAATTGGGCCATCACTATTCACAAGTCTAGGATGTTTCTTTTTCAATTTTTCATATATAAACTAAATTTCTCCACAATACAAGGTTGATGTTACTGTTTTCCCTTGAGGAATAACCCCTTTGAAAGACCACCATACAGTAACTATTAACTTTTTAGGGTGCAATAGAGGTTTTGGGGATTCACTTGCATCTAACCATTGGTCCATTCTCTTAATGTTGTCAAAGAATATCCTTTTCTCATCATATATGATTCAATGCAAAAATTGTTCTTTTTCCAGTCAGGAAAGCATACAGTAAAATTACTCATTGTTTCATTGTAATCATTTTTATTGGACTTATGAGTAATAATATATGGAAAGAAAAAGAGTCAGGAATAAATAAAGATTCTTTTATATACTAACTTTACTTCATTAGATGACCGGATCAACAACCAACCAAAAAAATGCATCATTTCATGTGTGACAACCTAATACAAAATACAAGGCCTTATTTTGAAAATATTTCTTAAATTTATAAAATAAGCAGCATGCAACTTCTCCCCATTAATTCATTAAGAAGCATATTGTTGTCTGGGCGGGTTGTCTTTTTCAACAGTAGCAGTATCTGATGTAGCCGCCATTTTCTTTTTCAAATATATGTTGCTCATTTGAACTTATAAATGAAAATCAATACACATTTTTCATTTTAATATAAGCACCAGGCTAATTTCACCACTTACACACATACTGAATTTATTGGCTAATAAAATGATTGGGAGACACACACAATCACATTTCCTGTATAAACATTGATATGTCATTGAGAAGAACTAGATCATTATCACTAACAATGAAGCACGGAGGATTGGATTTATGCCGAGCCTGATGGTAGAAATGAAAACATAATTTAAAATGACAAGGTAAAAAAATATATGTGCAGACAGTGTAATGGATAACAACTTAGAATGAGAAATTAGAGAGACAAGCTCAAATTCCAGTTGGGTTCATAACATTCACTTACATGCAAATAACTTTGGGAAAGGTAGGAGGCCAGCACTTTCACCTCCAACTATGGGTTAAATAGTAAGACTTGTATCAAGAAAAATTATCAATGCAATATTCACTCAAAAAAGAAAAAAAGAATTATACTTATGACAGATTACGCAATAAGAATGTAAATTCTAGATTCAGTTTCTAAGTTGAAACCAACAGTCTTGATGTGGGTATCCAACAAGAGACATAAAGATAAAAATATAAAAAACATAAAGACAGAAATTTCAAAAATAAAAACAGAAATTTAAAAAATTAAAGACAGAAATTAAAAAAAATAAAAACAAAAATTAAAAAAAAAAATAAATAAAAAAGAAAGAAAAATGAAAAACCAAAAAAAGAGAAAAAAAAAAAAAAGAAGAGGATCTCACCTCGACTTTTTCTTTGGCAGGTTTCTTGTCAGCACCAGATGCAGATTGCCGCAAATAGCGTCGGGATTTGCCAGTCTTTGATTCAGGTGAGGAATGTCGACTTCCAGAACTGCTACCATCTGAGTCGGAATCACTGTCAGAACCTGCAGTGGAATTGCTTCGATTTGAGGACAATGTACTCATCTGGCTTCGATCATCTGGCTTGATGACTGCAGCCACGACAGGTTCAGGCTGGTCCTCCAGATTATACTGGATCTTACCACTGGAAGAAATATTGCTCCCTTCACCTGACATCATGCTGCTGCTTATGCTCGTTGAAGTGGGAGCAGGTTGTTGTGGTAGGGGCAGTGGGGCAAGTTCTGGGGTCAGGGCATACTTTGGTGATTTTGGAGTCTCAGCATTGGCACCAGTAGTAGCTCCAGATGAGTCTTTCATATCTGTATCACTGTCAGCTTCTCCATCTTTGGAATAGGTCTTGCTTGGACTGAGGTTATCACTAAAGGAGAAAGTAGAAAAACAAACATATAATCAGTGATCAAATCCTACTTAAAAAAGAAAAGAAAAAGGTAATGATATCATAGATGCTATCTACCCAGAGATTATATTGTTTTGATGACATATAATCCCCACTATTTTCAATTTTATATTACAGTATTTGGGAGTTATACAAATACCGGTAGTCTATCGGAGGTGGGAGGGTATCAGAATACATCTAGAATACAGTAGATCCTTTTTGAGTAATTTTTTTGCAGGTGGAGAAGAGAAAAAAGTGGAGGGTATTCTATGCCATCAAATACAGGGTGTGATAGAAATACCTCCCATATAATGGTAAGACTTTAACTAGATGGAGACACCATTGCCACTAATGTCTTACCTTTATGTGGGAAGTATTCCTGTTGCACACTGTATAATGTACGTACGTACACACAATGTGCCAAAAGTCATGGGATAATATTAGGCAGCACCACCTTGACATCATAGAAATGCCTAAAACTATATCAGTTATGCTGTGACAGTGAGTACCAGATGGATAGGACATTCCATTTCTGAAATAGTGGGTACATTTAACATTTCTCAATCATTAGCATTAATTGAAATGTGTGATGAAAGGCATTACTGATCACAGTGGACAACAGATTAGCCAACCTTGGATCCTTAATGATCATGACCAGAGGTATCTAGCAAAAACTGCCTGTGATTACAGACACAAGTAGCATTAGTAAAGTTTGGACATAGTGTAGACCTAAGTCATTAACCAGGTACTGTGTAGGCTGGTGGTGGTGCCACGATATTTTGGAATGAAAGGAGTTGGATGTATGATCATTGATTGATAACAGCTAACTGTGGTTATTAGCCCTGTGTGCCCCAAGAATGATGGGTTATTTCAGCAGGATAATGCACTGTAAGATTAAACCAAAACTGCCTAACATGAGCCTATTTGGTTATTTATGGAACACTGCAAGGCTGTGGAGTCAGAAGCAATTAAAGGGTCACTGGAGTAAGAGTCAGTATAGTTTTACCAACTCCAGTTGAATTTACACTTTATGTAAAAAGTCTTACATTATAGAATTTTTATTTTTATTGTTATTTCTTCTATATCCTTTCAAAGATTTTGTCTGATTCTGTTAGAAAATATTGAAGAATGAATAGATATGATATACAAGCTACAATATCTTTATTCTTTGATATAAACCAGTTATAATGATATAGGCCGACTCAAATTAGGAGCATATGCATAGGCTTTGAGATTTGTAAGCCATAATCACTTAATTACATAAAGAGGAGTCAGGTCAGAGTTGGAGGTTACAAAAATGGAGAGGTCAGAGTGAAAGGTTTTGTGTTCCAACTTCACAGCTCTGGAACATTTTGGAGAAGTCTATTTGTAGACAAGATTCTGCAACTACAAATATCAAGAGGCTATGGACATTTATTGAGGAAGCAGGACTCAAAATTTTTTAAGAGGTTTTCAGTTCGTGATATAATTGTTATGGCAAGATGCAGCCGTTCACCAAGTAAGAGGGTATCCTACAAAATACAACACACCTGTTCTAGGGTCTGGAGCATGTCTGTGCGTGCATGTTTTAAGAACAATATATGCACACATGCTTTATAAAAATTTTGGAATTTACAGATTTTATTTTTTCAACATAGTAACCATATGACATTTTATATTTACTGAAGTGGGTACTGAGTTTTGATTGCATTGGTCTACATATCTATAGGTATTATCATTTTGAAAAATAATGATGATCAAACAATTATTCCTGTTCCACCACATGCTTCCCATAACCTTTCAGAAACAGTAATACAATATTGGTGATTTTTTTTCCGTTTCTCATATGCCTCTAGATATTATACAAATCTTTGGCTGTTAAAATTATTTCTCATGAAATGCTGACGAAGCAAAGCAAAAATTCATCAATATCATGTTATTCATATTTAGCACTCCACATTATTTATAAATATTACTTCCCCCTTTACTCTATATGGAATTCCCTCAAAATATAGGATTATATATATATATATATATATATATATATATATATATATATATATATATATATATATATGCATGCACACACACATATATATATATATATATATATATATATATATATACACACACATACACACATATATATATATATATATATATATATATATATATATATACACATACAAAGTATAAGATTGGTGCATATAGAATAAATTCCAATAAACAAAAATACTATTCCTAAAAGAGTGCTCAATAAAGAGTAGAGCAAATATAATTTATTCAAAAATTATAGCATAAACATGTTACAGAATCACTACAAAAATAGCCATTTTGTTTCAACACTTCTGATGTCTTATCAAGTGATGGTGTTGAATGTAGAATAAAGTGTTTAATCACTTGATAAGACACCAGAAATGTTGAAACATAATGGCTATCTTTGTAGTGATTTTATAACATGTTTATGTTATAATTTTCAAATAAATTATATATACATATTAGTAGTAATAATCTTATAAGTATAAGAAATTATACTTGTCCAGAAAACCTTTGGTGTCTTCATTTGCGAATAATCAAACCAATACCAAAAGGTGGAAAAAAAGGTATAAAAAAAAACAAAAAAACCAAGAACATGTATGTTAGCCGAAAATAATTGTCTAGCATGCAAGTCCAAAGTTCAAAGAAAAAAAAACCCAATACGAGTAAGCAAAATAACTAAATAAAGTGCTCAATATGGTAAGTAGAGCAGACTTAGTTAAACCTAGAAAGCCAGACAAACCTATCAAGGTTTCACCTAAGCAGTTTGTCAGGGAAGGCTGGCTCTTCCCTAACGATCCGCTTAGGTGAAACCTTGGTAAGTTTGTTTGGCTCTCTAGGTTTATATAAAAAGTTAGAGTAGCCTGGCTCTCAATTTCAGTTAAGAGTGTTTTCGGTGTTTTCCAACTTGTATTAGCAGGAGTAATATTTTACTTAGTGAAAAGTCACCTACAGCATGCTAAAGGATTAAAATAAAGAAAGACTTTCATATCACTGATTTTTTAATTAAACATGAAGGTATCTAATTTATTTTATTTTTCTCACCAATTACTCTTAAAATTATTTCACTCAATGCAATGAAGTTTTCAGTAAGTTCTGTTTCAAGGTTTTTGGACCATTATGCACCACCAGAGATCAAAACTTCTCTACTGATTGAGGATTCCCTCACCCTCACTACTTGCAAACTGTTGACATCATAACCTGACAAACAATACTGCCAAAGATGGAATTTATGTTTCTTAGAATTTCAATCTCATTTAAACCTGGCTTTAATTAACACAATTATGAATTGAAAAGCTTTGCCTTAAAATACATAAGAAAAAAATTTAATGAAACTATTACTAAACTAGTGTACCTGTATAGTCATTTTTGATGGCAATTGTTAGAAAGTTTTAATAGTGAGATGCAATGAAACAAAAGTCTTGAAACAATGTATCGAGATTCAATAAAATAAAGAAAGATTTCACAGCTAAAATAGACACTAATAAACCGTTTAATTATTACGTTCACTTAATGTGTGTGTGTATATTTATATATATATATATATATATATATATATATATATATATAATTTTTTTTTTTTTTAAATTTTAATAGTATATGATTGAGTGATTACTCCTGGTATTATATAAGTTGCTTTTTGCTCAATATCTTTTCATGTCCAAATTTTTATACTTAATATAACAGTGAAATGGAAATATGTCTTGGAAGAAAAAGATTAGCAACAGAACAAGAAAGGTGGCAACAACAATACCCATTTCAAGACTAAATTGAAGCAAGACAATCACTTAATTCATTCTGGATATGACAATAAACTACATCCAACAGCAAGGCCTATGATTGGGAAGTTTGGAGGAGCGTAGAGCCACCTTTTAATTGCTGTTGTTCCCAGGTACAATCTAATTTTTTTTTGGGGGGGAGACCTGTTAGGGTCCCAACTATGGACAAATAGTGAATGTCAAAACATTATGAACATATAAAAATACATTTTTGTAGTAAGAATCCCAGTAATACATTTTCATAGTATTAAAAAATCAAAAAAAAAAAAATCAACATTATTGGAAAAGGAAGAGAAAAATTACCAGCAATATATTTTTGAAATAAAAAATTACTACAGCTCCCAAGAAAATTAAATTTTGGCATAAAATGACCCATAAGGAGTTGATATGCCATTAAGCAAATCAAGCAAACAATGATCACTTAATAAAGAAAGGTATCTAAGTGCCTCACATGAAAGGTTTGAACAAATAAGACTGCAATTTAAGAAATATAGGAGTAAAGAAAACCGATTAACTCAACGGTTCATTTTGCCCCAAAATTAATTTTGTCTAAATGCAGATAACTATTTTATTTGTACAGATTATTAAAGTAGGGTTCCCATTGATCTGTGTAAAAAAAATTCCACAACTTTTCAAGGACTATGTTAAGAAGTCTCAAGGACTGAAATTGGCACACACACAAAACACACATACAAGGTAAATGGTCATCAATATCAAAAACACAAACTTGGTGATTTATCTTTTAATAGTTTGACAGGCAAGATATTCAAAGAAAAGCTACAGTTGGTTCCAATAATTCATGTCATATTGATTAGTTGAAAGCACTGAAGAAATCCAAGTGTTGAAGGCAAATCAGCAAGTTCAAATTCTGCTTGCACTAATGTCCTTGGGAAAGGTATGAATCCAGATTTACCTCTACCACCAACTACAGGTTAAGTCACAGGGTAGGTTGGGCTCTTCAGCTTTGGTGAAAGACAACACTGAATTTCAAACCAGAAGTTGAAGCCACTCCTCCTCTCCAGCTATAGGTAAAAAATTACAAAATGTAGAGGATGGAGGCTTATATTCCAACCTATAAAACCTAGTTGCTAAAATTTGATTGACATGCAAATCAAATCCAGGATCTTGGAGAAAATTAATGAGTGTCTGTATCAATTTGTTCATAAGTTAATATTTCTCCTTAGATTATCAAATCTTGAATAAGCAGGAGGAGTTCAAATTTGAAGGTTTTCCAAATATTAAGGCAAATTCAGGTCATTTTACTCACTGAAGAATTGGGATTAGAAAGAGAATTGCTAAAATTCATCAAAACTGCATTGTGAAGTTCGGAGAAATAAGATACTTTTCTAAACAAAGCTTTGTATTTAAACAGTCAAAAAAATTTATTTTAAATAATAAAACTGCTGTTATATATTGTTTTAATTATATTTTTGAAATCAGTTTAATTTCTCTTTGAAACTGGAATATGAAAAGTGGATCAGTATTTTGAAGTTTGTTATTTGGTAGTATTTTAAGTGGATTGAATTAAATTTGCTGCAGTTTGTCAATATGTGTTTTATGGTAAATGGCTCTTGGCATTCCACACATACCGGAGGATCTTCCCTTTTTAGGATATACGAATAGGTTATGGTAGTATGGCCAGTATGGTGCCTGGATATAATTACTTCTCTTCTAGTTTGGTGTTTCCAATGCCATTCTCCTAGAGTAACATTAAACAATATTGTACATATTGTGCTTGGAGAGAAATTCTATAGGTTCTGCCACTCCTCTCTAATTTATTTATTGATTGTTGGTTTCAGATCTGTATATGGGGGTTTTGGTATTTAAGGAGCCTGATGTTTTTTTGTTTTTTTTAAGTAGACACTTTTCTTGCTGTGGCATCTACTAAATTATTCCCTTTGATACCAATATGGCTTGGTATCCAGCAGAAGACAATATCTCTATTTAAGCTATTGATCCTGTTGAGTAGTTTCATGATGAATGTATTTGACATTTTTGTTTTTCAATGCTGTAATCACTGACATGGAGTTAGGATATATAATAAATTTTTTGTGTTTACTTGAATTAGAGGACTTATAAACACATGGTGAAAAATTGTATGCACAGAGAGTAATTAAACACAAAGTCAAATACTGAAATATAGTCAATAACGATGAAAGTTTAATTGCTTAAAAAATTTGAAACTAATTCAGAAAAAAAGGATTATTCTAATACAATTACAACTGCCATAAATCAAAAAATTATTTCATTCTGATACCATCAAACAGCAGCAAAAATGAGCTATGAAGACCTTGAGCATAGGAAACTAAGAAATAAAAATATCAACGGTATTACTTTCATTCTTTAATATTTTAACAATAATATTTAAAAAAAAAAAAAAAAAAAAAAAAGAAGAAATCAAGGATAAAAAAATAATGTCATGAGAAATATTTAAACAGATGATGAACATATAGAAAATAAAGAGAACATAGAGTAAAGCCATCATTTTCATGTCAGTGTAAAGCACTCATACTTCTCTAAATACCTTCCATGTATGCCAGTTTAAACTGGTCAAAGAGAATACACACACACACATATATATATATATATATATATATGGTTAGGTAAATGAGATAAGTAGAAATTAGCCAAGAGGTGTAGACATAATAGTGCTCAATGTGATTAGACAGACCTAAGAAATATATGTTAATAAATACACATATACCTATGTTTGATGTACGACTCAAATTCATCAGGCACGAGATATCACTTATTGTTTATTTTAAAATAAACAATAAGTGACATCTCGTGCCTGGTGAATTGGGTAACCAACAAAGTTGTACATCAAAAGTATAGCATGATGAAAAAAGGCCCCAAACTTAATAAAAACAAAGTTTTATCAACAAAATGTTTGTTATTATTAAAAGGAAAAACCAAAGCATCTTTTATTATTTTATGTCAGCAGTCTACATGATATTTACAATTAGTATTTTAGTTTCACTTTTTCAATTGAACAACACATCGATTTGAAAATTCTTGCAAAAATCAAATAATTGTTGGATTTTAATGAAACTTTCAGGACTTATTCATAAATGATTGAAATTATTTTTTAAAATTTTTATTTTTAAGAAAATCTCAGTAAAAAAATACATTATTATTATTATTACTACTAGTATACCTATGTTACTTTGCCCCACCACCAATTAATTTCATGAAATTAAATTTCAAAATTTATTTTATTAGTTAAAAACAGGATTCCTTCAAGAATGTAAATCATTTTTTTTTCAAATTACTACCCATTTTCCAAACATCTGCACCAAATAGTAAAATAAAAAAAAAAGGCAATAAAATTGACATTTTTTTTAATTAGAAAAGATTTTAATTGTTTTTATAAATAAGATTTATTAAGGACACTATTGTATTTATTTTTTTTTTAAATTTTAATTATAGTAATTTATAATATATAAATGGTTTAAAATTCTGCATTATTTTAATCTGGTTAGGTGGTATTGTTATTAAGTGAAAACTATATTTACTAATCAAAAATTGAAAAGCTTAATACAAAGTATTTTGCACCAAGATTTTTTTAAATAATTTTTTTTTTATGTATATAAAATATTATGCAACATGCCACTGTTTGAAAGTATGGTAGATCATACAACATTATCAGAAAATAAGAGTGATGACTATAATAAATTTAAAGTCAACATTCCTTAAATTAGATTACGGGGATAGATTCCAACATTATTAAGATTACTCACTTAAAAATTATATAAAAAAGGCACTCACCAGTTATTTTGTTAAATTATGTTTTAACAGATAAAGTTTCCATAGAACAACAATAAAGGTGCTAGCACATTTATTATCACTTGCTGAGTGACAAGCAACAGTGACAAACAAGTATGTAATCACCACTAGTGTTTGTTTTAAAAATTCATTTCTCCGTTATTTTAAACTTAAAGTAAATAATATTTTTTTCAAATCAGATCAGTTATACTTTAAATCAGCTAATATTCCTCAAATAAAATTTCAGGAAAGTATATTTTATTTTTGGAAATAACTTATTTTTGGAAACCTATAACTTTTGTTTACAAATGTGTCAAAAATGGATGATTTTAAATGATTTTTGGAAAGCAACCAAAAAGTTGAGATTCCAATCAATATAATTTCTATTTGAAATACATCAAAGTATTTTGCTTACTGGAAATAGTAAATTTAATCATTTAGCTTTCAATTTAAGGTAAAGAGAATGTTTCAAGAATGTTTTTTTTTATTTTTAAAAAATTCAATTTAAGCCTTAGGTATCAAAAAAGTGGAGGTACTTTATATATGAGAGAGATATTAAAAGTAGAACAGATATCTCCTTAACTTACAAGCATAAATGGGGATCAAAATGAAGAGTAAGAGATTTATGATTCAATTAAGTTATCAAGCAGACACACTTATAACATAAGTATTAAACATTCAATAATTGGATTCAAAGTTATGGAGGGAAAAAGAAAAAAAAAATTAGAAAGTGCATATGAACTTATTTTTTTTATATATATATATATATATATATATATATATATATATATATAAATAAAAATCACCATAAAGTCACAATACTAACAAATATCTAATCAAACAGAGAGAAATAAATAAAAAAAAAATAATCACCACCATCACCAACAATGACAACAACATCCAATTTAGAGAGAGCACAAAACTAGCCATTGGGGCAGGATGAAGGGAGAACGCTTCAAAAGATGGGTCACAGGAAATACCAACAGACAGCGAAACAACTTACAGCAGTGAGTTTTCTGGATTTTTTGCCTTGGGTCTCCAGGGCTTCTGACCAGGTTTCCAGTGGGTAGGGGGTGGACTCTCGGACTTCTCCCGTTCCATCCTGCACATAAAATAACAGATAACAAATCACTGAAGAAAAGACACTAAAAAGTGCCGTGGGATTTACCTGAGAGTCCAAAGTAGAACCCCTACTCCTTGCCAGTCCATTGCAACAAGCCCAATACATTTTCTCCATCTTACCACCAATATTTTTCTTCTTTTTTCAATAATTCACCAATTTGCTAGCAATTCAAGTCAAAAACATCTTTGATGCTACAGCTTCAAAAGATGAAGAATTAATTCCATGGACAACAATTTTTGATAGTCTATAAACCAAATTCTGTTGAAGCAAGTGAACAATACTGACAACTTTTAATCTAATTAAAAAAAACTTCTTGAAAACCAGACATCACTCCTTTCCTTGCTGATTCTGCTGACCAATTTTCAATGAACAGTTATTGGCAACAATGACAAGACCATCCTTTTGTCGACACTTATAAAAGAATGACATCAACCTTCTCCAACATCTCTATGATTAAAAGGCAATAAAAAGCAAACAAATTTATTAACACTTAAGAAATAAGCTTTGTTTTACTGAGGACAAGAAACAGAAAAATAAAGTTTAACTAAACCTTTACAAAAACAGTGACAGAATTCACTTTGTAACTATTTTTTTAATTGAGAGGATTATTATTGGATTCTTCCACTACCACAAGGCAAAGGTTAACATTTTTAAGCAACATGTTTTGTTTCAAAAGTAATTTTGTTCTTCAAAATAAATAAAAATGTGAGAAAGAATGATGAGCAACAGAATTTTTGATTGTGATCAATCCAATCAGTTCTGTGAAATACAAGAATCCAGGAGTGTGTGGGTAGATGTGTATATACAAAGTCTGTCTGAAAAGCAGCAGGACTGTGTGTGTTGTGTGTGTTATGGGTCAACGAGGGATCAGCGTATTGTATAATAATCTAACATGTTATCTTGGGAGTATATAACTATAATCTCAGCCTTCTGTAAGCATTAAAAATTTTTTTCACATGCATTTGTGGCAGGACAAATTGTGGTTGCTTAACCATGGAAATGCATCTGCTCACAATGCCCTGAACATCCAGCAGTTCATAGCCAAGAAGAACATTGCCATACTGAAACAACTCCCCCTATTTACCTGATCTTACTCCATGTGACATTTTTTTCCCTCAAGCTCAAATGTTCATCAAGGGGACCTGTTTTGAAGGTGTGGAGGCCATTAAGATGGCCATAACAACAGAGCTGAGGAGGATCCAAGAAGAATCCTTCCAGCAGTGTATAGAAGCATGGCAGAGAAGGATGGAAAAGTACATTAGACTTGTGAGGGATTAATTTGAAGGGGAAACCATGTAGTTTATTGTTTAGAATTGAAATAAATTATTTGTGACACTAGTCCCGTTACTTTTCAGACAGACGTTGTAAGTTTTTACAAGCTAGATGGAAAACAAACATCCAAACAAGTCACAGGCTAAATGTATTTCAGACACATGCTTAGCACATACAAGTTAAAATTCATTTTTCATAATTAGAAATAAATAGGTAAAGCTTTCCTTCTTTTTGAAACTTGCTTAAAGACTGCCACTGACAAACATTAAGGTCTACGTTAAGTCACTTTGTATTTATATAAATAGTATTTGCTAACAAATAAAGGAAACTATTCTTTAATGGTGTTTAATATATCGGCTGTTATCACTCTTGATAAATCAGATCATTATAATATACATCATCGTCCCCTTGACTTTTGTAATCCGGGGGGGGGGTATCTTAATGCAGAAGCCACACTAAATCTCCTGTTATAGAGTAGTTTCACAGTGGAGGCTTGTATTTCACTAAGTTGGTCCTAAAAAGGTTTGACGTACAAAACGTTAGGAACTTGATAAAATAGGTGATGACGCAGTAATCTAGTTGTGGTGGCTGATACTTTAATATCCGACTAACGGTCATCCGACATCGACTGACTGACCAACTCACTGAGTGACTGCTGACTGCTATTACTCCTACTTATTATAGGTGGGAGAGTCTATTAACAATAGAATAGGTGTGTTTCACTATAACACCTCCACAACAGTCTATCAACGGTAGCCATCAGCAATTCTAGTATAGTCATACCTGTCCATTGTTTGACATTGTTCAACCAGTTTTACATTGGCATCATCTCCTACACCCACCTTCAACATTGCATTGCATGATGGTTTTGCACAGGCTGTCATGCCTTGTAATGTGTTCAAATCATGGCATTTTTCTCCATTTGACAGTGGCGAGAAGAGGTTCCTGGTGGCCTACAAAAACTTTCAACTCTTTTCTGCACAGACTCATTGGGCCTATGTTTATACATTATTGGGGGAATGAAAATGTAAACCTCCTCTTATGAAGTTACAAGTTAGAACATTTTAATGGTAATGTGCTAACAAAATCATGCTATAATGTACCAATTTTTGCTGTGTTACAGTAATGAACACAACCATCAACAGAAATCAAGTAAGGTATTGATGAAGAGGAAAATGCAACATTTAAGAACCAATCCAATGTAGTGTGACTTATGATATAAATGAATTTGTTTCTGTTTGTCTTCCTGTTTGTTCTCAGGTAGCAGTGGCTAAGAGAATCTAACTTCTGATCTTGGTAGTACTAAAGAAGAGGTGAAAGCATCTCTTATTTGTACTAGTCACTTTATTTTTCATGAGCTTTCGTATACCTGTCAAGTATGTATACGATATGAATATGTAGTAACTTCAATACTATACAAAGGACTGGATGCTTTAGCCTTAGTAAGGTAACCAGTTTAGTAAAAGGACAACTGAATTCAAAACCAGCCTGATAAAGATGAACTCTGTCAGGTCATCTTGCTCTAGACACACCCATTGCTGCAGCTGCAGCACATGATGCCCAATGCCTCTACAAAGGGTTATAGCATGCATGCAATCAAGCACAGCTAACAAACAATAATTATAGTAGAAAGTGTAATCCAAGGGTGGTCTTTTTGATAACCCCCAGATTTAGTTAGTATTTAGTAGTAAACAAAAAGTTAAAGTTAGGAATTTTTTTTGGTCCCATGATCTCAAAGACTATTAAATTGCGAGGCTCTTCAAGATATCTCTAAAACAAGACGGTTTAGCATTTCATTCCACTCTCCAAACAAAATGAAACAGGCAATACTTGGTTTACATACTAACAGCAATAAATTCCTGTTAGACTTAACTTTTGAGTAGAAAAATAAAGTGGTGGTGGTGGTGGGGGGATCATTACCACCATGGAGTGAAAGAGAATTGTGAAAGAAATTGCACTAAACACAATAGAGAGGGGGGAGGGATAAAAAAATATATTAAAGTTCATACAAAAAGGCATGATTTGCATATGCTATTCTATAAATGCCAACTGCAACCTTTTATTTTTTAACAATAGTTAAAATTTTAAGTCAACCTTAAAATCATTGTAAAGAATTTTTAAAATATGTATATATTACAGTGGCTTTTTGTATTAATAAATATTCTATTTTGAATTGTTTTTTATTTCAATTTTTTCATTATTCAGTTTCATCAAGCAAGATAGAATATGATTTAATACTTTGAATAACTTATTTCCTTTTAATTGTTTAGTGTCAGATTAGCAAAATTTGATCAATGAAATTTCTATCAACTTTAAAATTGAGTGCAAAACACAGCGATGCCCTTATAGCAAAACATGACTAAAAAATTACCAAAGAAATATTTATGTAATTTTTACATAAAATGCTTTTTTTTTTTTTTTTTTTTTACAAATATAAATATCATTGAACTTTAAAAAACAGCTTTTGCTTTAATTTCATATTCTTAGTCAACCTTTTTATGTAATAATTTTAAAATAATAATTGTTTCAATTGTCTTTTTCTTTTAAAAAAAGAAAAAAGGGAGGGGACAATTTAAACAAATTTTAATAAAAAATATTTGAAAAATACAATTTTAAGAAAAATAAGCCTCAAAAGTCTAAAATTATAAAAATTAAAAAAAAAAAAAAAAATGTCCATTTTCTTTAATTTGACTGGAAAGTGTCCCTAAGTCTGTCTGTAACAGTGAAATGTCCTTAACCTTTGTTCATAGGTACACTAACGAAATAAATATTAATGAAAATGTTTTAAAAAAATAAAAAAAAAATAAAATGCAACTTCAGTGTTATATGTTATTTTAAGAGATATAAAGTAAAGAAAGGCTAGATACAAGTTTGCTTTGTGTATGCAACATATATGGGGTTTTATTAAATGAAGAGTGAATTAAAAAGGAATAGCCTGATAAAGTGATTTGAGTTCATGCACTCTAAATGTTTGATAATTAATCAGAAAAGATTTTTTTTAAAGTTTCAAGTTATATTAAAATTGTCGCAGGACTTACCTTTGAAATGTAAGTAATTGATGTTGAAGTGCATCTCTAGAGAATAGTTTCTTTCTTCTTTCAGCAATGTTTGATCTTCTTCTTGGTGGACTATGATCACCAGAACTTGATGAATGAGAATAGTGGCGGCGACTGTAAACACAAAACATTAACACAATTTTGGCAACAACTAGATTTTTTTTTCTTTTTAATGAATACAAAGGATGAAATAAACAAAATTGGTTCATAAGTAATCAGTATTTTGTTACCAAGAGTCATGGTTAATTTAATGAAAGGTTCTAAAAAGAAAGCACCTGGTCAGACAACCTAACCGGTTACACCCTTTCTGTAGTCATCCCTGCCCACTTGACAATTTTTCACTCTGGTTTGATGTGTAATTCTGCCCATCCATTTCCCTATTGTAACATTCCATTTGATTCTATTATCTCATTTTACACTTTTATTCATAAAGTTCTGAGTATGACACAAATAACTATTAAATTATTAATCAAATGGTATTAGATCAAATAGTTTTATAGTCAGATAAAGAAAGAGAGGGAAAATATACTCAAGTAGTCAGACAGTGAAGTTTAAATTATCTGTGTAGTACAAGCAATTTCCTTTAAAATATAATTCATTTTTTCCCATATTGCCAAATGTTTTTATATATAAATGAGGATAGTATAAATATTCCTAATCCATTTCAGAAACTGTTTATTAAATCCAGTAACATTAAGAACAAAACAGAAATAAAATAGGCAATAATAAAATTATCCATACGATTCAGTAAATGGCATTGCCTTTCTGGTCAATAAAGTAAACATTTTCTATAGTTAGTAACCAATCCACAACACTTCTTTTGGCATATTGTTCCATTTTTAATAAGAAATTGCTCTAACTCAACCAAATTTTAAGATTGTCTTGAAGGAACCACAAGTTCTTGCTACAAATTTTCTAATCACTTCAAATCTAAATTTATTGCAGGCAAAGATAAGTAATTAATTTTGTTTTTGAGCAATTTTTCTTGCGTGTTTAAGATCATTATCATGTTAGAAAGTGAAAAGTTCTTCCAAAGAAGGTACCTGGCAGAGCCTTCCAGATTTTCCTTTTAAATATCATGGTACTCATTTTTTTTCATGGCTCTGCTGATTTTAAACAAACAGCTCATACATGTACCGGATTTCATCCAAACAATTCATTTTGTTTCAATGACTCCAGAAAACCAAGTTAAAAAAAAAAAAAATCTTTTTTTTTTTTTTTCCAAGTAAGCATATTCAAATTGAACCTTGAGATAATGACTTTTGAGCCAAGGCCTTTCTCTTGAATACTAACTATTGCAAATGTTTAGTCAGCACTCTGCTTACCATACAATGTGCTGCATTTACTCCATTGTTTAACATTTTAGAAATGACATCCTTCAGTACAACTTTCAGCTTTTTTCATTCACTGATTTTCTTCAATCTTAAAATGAATTTAACCACTTACAGGAAGTTTCTGTCTTGTAATATTGTACCCGGATATAATATAGAATCAAATTGGGTAAGGAAAACTGCAGAGATGTGGCTCCAAAACTCAATTTCTGAACTGCAAGTGTTCACAATTCATTGGTTTTAAACCCACAGACAACTTTTTCACGTTTGCATTTTTGTTGTTGATACCCATTTCACATGAACAATATGCACCTGTTTTGTTTTTTCTTTTTTTTAATTTACAACTTACATATTCAACCTAATAGACTACCTTGTCATGACATGATATAAATATTATATATTTTATGAATTTCATAAAAGAATTTTCTGGTGTATAAATGATTTTGCACTTGTCATGGATTTTATGCTGTGTTTATAATGTTTCTGAAATGAATTAAGTTTATTTATTCAATACCTAAAATCATAGGTTTCTATATTTGACAAGTGAATTCCATTAGTTAATATATATACACAATATAATGGTATTGACAATAAATCTTGCGTTCCGGTTACATAAAAGTTATAACAATATGGAAAGAAAATAAATTTGCAACCATTACCAAATTGGAAAGGTGACCAAGTGAATTCAATCCAGACTGTGTTCACATAAAAGTTTTGCTTATATAAAAAAACATACAAGATGTTTATCATAAAAAAAAATCAATGAAGGCTGAATTCAGAGCACTGAGAGAGAAAGAGAGCACATACAATATTTGTTATCTACCTACCATTAGATAAGCAGAAATCCCACAAATAAGAGTTATTTATTCTGTCTTTCTTAGGTTTAATGGATATTAACCTCATCTCAAAGAATGAAAAGATTTAGCACACCATGTTGTGAAGCTTCTTTTTTTTTTCAAAGTGTATTTATTAATAAAGAAAAAGTATTAACTCCTGACCTGACTGCAGGATAGAATTCAATATGAACAAAACTAAACCAAATAGAACTTATAATTTTTTTTTTTTTTAATCTGTTGTCACATTACCAAGTCTTGTTATGAAGCCGCAAGTAAATTATGCAAACCAACTTGACAAGTAAAGCCAAAAAACATCTCTATTAACCTCAAAACATGCAATTATGATGTCAGTCAGTTTGAGTAGAACAAAACCCAAAAGAAGCTTTCAAGTGTGACCAGGTAAATAAATAAATCAATAACTAACAGAGCATACCAAGTACAGGATTGTACATGTAAGACTTGGCATATCTACAGATGAATAGACATCATTTTATATGACAACATATCAATCCAAACTATAATTCTTCAATCATTAAAAAAGATAACTAATAAATGAGAAACTTTCCATATTATCTTACAAGTACTTAACCACCCTTAACAGATTGTTTCAAATATTTAACTCTCTTGATAAATTATCTTAAGTGTGGACATTTTTTTACATTTTATTCTTTTAAGAACATCAGATGTTAACTTATAAAATTACTTTTGATTTTGCATTAAATGAAAATTATTTGGATAACCTGTTATGTTATAGTGCAAGAAGAAGTCTATACTAAACTTCTTACACCCGGCAGTACAAATTTCACAAAAACAGTGACAGAGATAGAATTAAAATGAAGATTTTCTATTATAAGTGTGAAATTTTCAACCTGGTTACAATTTTATCTTGTTTACGAAACAGAGAATAAAAAAGAATTTTATTTGGAGGAGGAAGAGGATATATTTTTTGTGCTTCTATTTTCATCTTCCACTTCAACACAATATACAACCCATTCAGTATGGCATAATCCATTTAAAGGACAGTTATTTTTTGTCCTGCAATTGCATATGGTCATATTCTCACCTTTCACATCATTTTGTAGATTTAAATTTCTGCTATTCATTCTTTTTATGATGTTGCTCATACTGCTAGTGCAGTTTAATTTGACTGTATTTCAGTTAAATAGCTTATGTAATTCAGACATATTAGGGAAGTGATTATGTAATGTATTGAAAAACATCTTCCCCATGTTTGTTATTACATTAGGGTTGAAAGGCAGGTTGAACCAGATAATGTTTCTCTTTCTTTTATTATTAATAATACTATCATTTTTTGGGCTCATCTGTTCTTTGAATTGCAGGTTAGGGTTATGTCCCTTTTCTCTTAATGCCGATATGTAAATCTTCTTTATTTTGTTAAATATATTTTCAGTAGAAGAATTTTGCGACAGCAAAAACCCGGTTAAAGTTAGAATTTTTTTTTCTCCCCCCACTACTTCTGGTTTCAAAAGTGCTTAAGTTGTCGAGCTCCGTGTAGTTGATTTACTGAACAAACCACCTGAGGAGTTCGAAACTGCAGTAATGTGCTCTGGTCAGTTTCCATCGTTTTTAAATATTAAACAGCTCTGCAAGTCTGGTCTTCCCATTTTGTATTGAGCACTTTTAATGCATTCAGTTTTAACAAATATTTCACTATTTGTGTTACTCTGGTATGCATATATATATATATGGGAGAATATGACAGCGGACTCTCAAGATATCAGGATAATGTTAAGTCAATAAAGTGAGAAAAATTGTGTAACACATTTTATAAGAAAAGAAAAAAAATTGCACTGTCTGGCAAGATTTGAACTGGTGTTCCTCAAGGCAAAGGAAGGTACGATTATAACCAACTTAGCCACAAAGAGCAGTTGGTCAGGTGAGGCTAAATTTAGTACCTTCAAGCAAAACTCTTCTGCTTATAGAATCTCTCAAAGTGTTTCATATCTGCAGTTTTGTATCCAAATATAAACAGAGAGAATTTTAGAATTAATTTTTTTATTAATCTGACAAATTTTTATCACTTTAAACGACAGACTACTCATTGTGTCCAAGATCATTAAGGCATGCTGGGCTTAACAGTAGCTTCTTTTTAATATGATTTCTCAAACATTCAGACCAGTAGAAGAAAATAAATCAATATACTGTTAAAAACAAAACAAAAAACAGAGTGCCTACTCAAATACAAGTATACACTAAAAATAACATTTACACACCATAAAATGTCTCTATTCATTTTGACATTATTTGTTAAAATAGGTCTAAAATAAAATTTAAGATTTAATTTAATTTCAGATTATTTCAAAACTATCAAGTATTTCATGGGAAAAAGAAAATCACCAAGTTTTATGGAGAGTTAGAGGTACCAACTTTGATTCCAGTTGCCAAAGTTAAAGTCATAAGCATTTATCAATAAATTCTAAGTTAATGCATTTCCAGACACCAAATATCTTTTCTATATTTAACTGAAAATATTGTAAAGGTTTTAGAAGTTTTGATTAGAGATTTTTGTCTTTTTCGAAAAGATAAAAGTTAATTGCAATGAAAAGGAGTCAAAAAGCAACACATTAAACTGACTGCTAATAGAAAGTTTTCCCTTAAAGTCAGGTGTAAAGTATATAAATATCACTGACCTAATAGTTTAAGCTAAATGTGAATTGAAGAAAGAAAAAAAAAAAAAAAATTACTAGCTCTATTCGCTACTAAATCATGGTATCAGAAGTGCTCCCTGGACAATTGCCTCCATAGGACAACTGATCCCCCCACCTCATGGACAATTGTCTCCATTAAGAGAAATTTAAGAGAAAACAACTTTGCGTTGGGGTGGGAGTAAATAAATACTAATAAAACTAATTAGGGTTTTATTCTCATATTTTATCTGTTATCCATTAAGAAGATCCAATAAGATTTATATTTTTATATCACTATAATTATATGACTAAAATTGCAAACTGTGGGCTATACACAAATACAATAATTACTAATTACATAATTAATAACTGTCTGGTTAAAGTAATATTTATAAAAAATAATAATCAGTTCTTACATTTCATATTATTTAATAAGATTTATATTATATCACTATAATAATACAACTAAAATTGCAATTATGGGCTATTCATCTCAAAAAGTCTAACATGTAGGTTTTCAAAGTCTTGTATGATATTTACTATTCTGACTGTTCACTTTTGATAATGCTTCCGCTTAGGCAGTGCTGGATGCCCTACAAGCATGTGATTGTTAGTGACACTGGTCAATGCCTGCTCCCACTTCAAGAAATTGCCTATGGGGGCAATAAGTAATTTTCAACTGCTAACATCCATAACATACAAGCCTGGAAGTGTTAGTTACTTTTAAACTGACAAATAATAATCTAAAAAATTTCAGGCATGAGAGAGCTTCATTAAAAAAAAAAAAAAAAAAAAAAGACATAGTGCTGAACAAGTTCTTACCTATGGCGGCGATGTGAACGACTTCTTGTCCGGTGGTGCGGTGATGATGAGGATGAAGATGATGAATGTCTTCTTGATCGTCCCCTCCTACGTTCACTCCTTGGGTGGTCTTCAGGGGACCCACTTCTCTGCCTTGACTGCGAAGTCGAGCGAGGCCGACCAGCATCCCTGTCATCAGATTTGGACCTGGCTTGATTTCGCTCATGCTCAGAACCAGACTTGGAACGTGAGTGCTGGTCCCTGGCCTGTGTGCGTGATTTTGAATGTGATGACCTGCTTCTTTCTCGTCGACTCCTCGACTGTCGTTTTGCATCAGTCTGAGAGGATGGAGACTTGGAACGCGAGCGGCTGGCCCTGTGCGACGAGCGCCTTTGTCGGCTTTCATTTCTGTTTGTGCTGTGCTCACGCTGCCTCTGTTTTGAACGAGACCGGTGGCTCCGCCTAGAGTCTCTTTCCCCTTCCCCCTGGTGATAATCTTCTTTGTGCTCTGAAGTTCGTGTCTTAGAAGAGTCACGCCACTTTTCTGTATCCCCCCCCCTGGAAGACAGGTTATTGTTCTTGGTAGAGTCATCATGGCTACTTTTACTGACTTCTTGACTTTTTGTTTTACTGGCTGATATTTCAGTCTCAGAATCGGAATGGTTCTTCCGCTTGCTGGATTTAGAGCTCAATTCTCGTTCCTTAGATGACTTTTGACCTTTTTTATGTTTCTTGTGTTTTTTGTGCCTGAGAAAAGAAAACATACATACATACATTATATATATATATATATATATATATATATAAAAAAAAAACCCTTCATCTCTAACACACGTCAGACTGACAAGCATTTAATCTAGAATTTATCAAATTGGGGTCCCTTAAGAATGCTCCAATGAGGTCTGTGAAGTTAAAATTATTTTTATAATCAATTTTCACTTTAAGGATTGAAAAAAAGAAAAGTCTCAATTCTAATTTTTAATTTTTCATATAATAAATAGATATGTTTCACATGCCCTTTGTGGATTTCCCATAATTGTTAGCAGTTTAAAGGCATTCTGAGGCTGAGAACTTTAGAAAAAATATTTTGGCAGTCTGGCATGATATAAAGAGATGAGAGAGTCAATTGCCCAATATATGCACAATATTCATAGTTGACACCATGCTTTGAAACAAGAGACAATCGCCTATATATATATATATATAAAATAAAATTTAAAAAAATTAAAATAAGAGAGAGAGAGAGAGAAGAAAAAATGACATGCAAGTACAATTGTTTTTAATTTTATAAGAATTTTCAATTCACAAAATAGCCAATAAATGAGTGTCCATTCATATTTTCTGCTTTGGTAAACAAATCCTTTTACAAAGCTTCAGAAATGCATTTCATGAGCCAATCATAGCAAAGAGAATTTATATATATATAATACACACACTAATCATTCTGAAGATAAATTACATATTTGAAAAGATTAATTATCTGTAATATACACTATTGGTTATGAAATGGTAGTGAATCTTCAATTCAAATAAGCAAAGTATAGATATTTCCCAGTTTTAGTTTACTTTGTGACAAAATCAAGTGTGGAGGTGAAAAGGAAGATTATAATGAGCCAACCTTCCAAGTGGGGAGAACCTGCCTGCACTGTATAAAAAAAAAAAAAAAAAAAAATATTTAAAATCCTGGCTTTTTACCTGGGTACCAATAGAAAGTCAGCTATTGATTCAGTTTTACTTTTGCTTTCACAATAATGAGGGTGATCAAGAAGAGGATTGGGCTTACTGGGAAATGATCCGTGAAAAAAGTTTGTTAACCATCACTATAGTAGGTAGTCGATATAATCAGGATATTCACAAAACATTTTAAATTATTTTCATATAGAAAAGACAAGGTGAATCTTATACTAACTTTGTTAGTTTTGACAAAAAGACTTGATGCTTATCTACTCATTTTCCCTACAAGTTACAAATGCTCTGTTGTCTTCTTTGGGAAACAGACACAGGAATATATTTTTCCTACATCCTCTCAGGAGATAAAAATGAAAAGCAAATGATAATTTAATGAACTCAATGCTTGAAATGGGAACCAAAGCAAGTTTGAGAGATTATATCAAAATGCCTTTTAATTTTGAGCATTTCAAACTTACCCTATATAGTCATATATGAAGACTTTGAAGACCTAATTTTAAGCTAATTTGACTACAGTAAATGGATAAATAGTTTGCTCAGTGGTGTAGCCAGCAGTATATATGCTAATTTTATATCTTGTGTATGATGTGGCCACCTTAAAAATAGCTTCAAAATTAGGTTTTCATAAGTTGCGAGTATATATGGTATTTTATTGAAATTTGGTGAAAGTTTACTATTGAAAACTTCTACAACATAATGTAGACTGATTCAAAAATTGTATGTGGTGTGTGTGTGTACGCATCAGCTGAGAGAGAATTAAGGAGTAGATATACAATTATTTTTATTTATTTAGGGAGGGAGGGTGATAGAGATAGATATAATGAAATAGGTCCTGTGGCATACATACTTTTTTTCTTTAGCTTTCTTTGAATCTTCCTTTGAATGCTCCCTTAGGGAAAAAAAAAAAGAAAAAAAAAAAAAGGAAAACAGATTTTGATAATCTGAAAATATCATACTCAATAGGTTAAAAAAGAAGAAGAAAAAATAGGGGGAATATTAACACCCATTTACCTTTCTTTTCTAATAAATATATATATATATATATATATATATATATATATATATATATATATATATATATATATATATATATATATAACATGTTGGATTTAATCCATTTCCTAAAAATTGGATTTGTTTACATTAGGATACAAAATAGAGTAGATATGTATATTCCAAGAATCAGGAAAGATGTGTGTTCAAAAGCACTAATTGGGCTTTGTTTGATCAAGAGGTCTTATGTTGTCAAGAAGTCAAGGCATGTCAGATCTAATTACAGTTTACTCTAAAGGAACACAGGTTCAAATCCTGCCAGAAGGCACATATTTTTCTAACATAATTTCTCAAATATTCAGGCCAGTAGATGGGAATATATATATATATATACACACACACACAACTCTTATTTCTCTTTTCTTTGCCAATAAGAATATTTTACATATAATGAGTGATGAGAATGTTGAAAAGTTCTCAGCCCAAAGCACTTTTCATAATCTGAACAAATGACTATACATCCAATTTTTTTTTTTTTTTGTGGAAAAGCATGTTGGCTAGACAAAGAACTTTTCCGTATTACCTCATAATAAACAGTTACTAGAAATATTTTCATTTAAAAAAAAAAAAAAAAAAAAAAAAAAAAACTACTATGAACATATTTATTTTTTATTCTAATGTTCTTTTTAAATCTTGATTTTTTTCACCCAAGGGAGATAACTACGTATATTTCCTGAATTCTAGAAAGGAGTAATTATCAATATAGACCAAACTGTCCAGAAGGTGACTATTAATTATGACAAGCGTGAAGCCTACAACAGCTAAAACATTGTGATAATAATAATAAAGATAATAAAAAATGCATTTCTGAAGTTATGTAAAATTGGGGGGAAAAAAAAAAAATTCTACCAAGTGGTAAAATAACTTGTTCTTGACAAATAATGAAATTCTTAAGTCATTTAAATTATTTGTGGAAACAATTGTACTTTAAAAAAAAAAAAAAAAAAAAAAAAAAGTAAGCAATTGAAGGAATTATTAAGATAAAATTATAATAAAAATATAAAATTGCAATAAGACCTTATAATTCAATCAACTTTGACAAGCATATAGATCCTCTAATATTGTTATTCTTCAGAGGTAGTAAGTTACATTGAGTCAGAAAAGAAATATACCTAATTTTCAATTAAAAAAATAGCTTAATTTTTTTTCCTATTTAAACACATTTTTTTAATCACTTTGCCCTATACCATTAAGACACAAGATTTCAGAAGTGGAAACCTGATCTTAAGCAGGAAACAAGGGATAAACCTCTACTCCTGATCAAAAGGCTGGGGAGGAATGTGAAGTGGATGATAGGTAAACCTATTTACTCGTATTGAGGTGAAAAAATAGTTAAAACAATAAATAATTAGTAAATAAAATTTCAGAATTTAGACAGAGATGTTAGAAGTATGGAATCAAAGTAGACTTTATGGTAAAAATGTATTGAAAATGCATTAGTTCTGGAACCTTCTATAGTAAATTTGCATCCAAAGTCACACAGCAAATGTTGCTTTTACAAAAGTACTGTTGATACATGGGATAATTATAAATAATGGCGATAAAATGAAAAACAAAAGCAATAAAAATCTGTATGAGATCAGCTAAATTAAACATCTCGGTACATCAGATACCAAAATTTAAAGCTAAGCACCTCTCTATCTTTAATGATTCAATGTAATCAGTGTTTGTTGTATTGGAAAAATATGACACTTATATATAAAAATGATTCCATCAATAAAACCGTTATTAGTCTGAATATCCTTCTTGGAACAAAACACATCAGTAAGTATTTTTTTCTTTTGCATTTTGTCATTCGCTTACCCACATGTATGTGCTAAGGTTTAAGAAACTTACTCAAAGTCAAATTTAATCCACCTTAGCTTAGACAGTAAATTATCCCCTTTAAAAAAAAAAAAAAAAAAAAAAAAAAACTCACAATAAAACATACCTGTCTTCCTCAGCAGTAGCATTGGCATGTTTCACAGAGTCTCGATCACGTTCACTCTCACGTTCAGAGCGATGCTCTCGGCTCCGTTCTCGGCCACCGCTACTAGGCTTTGCTTCACCCCTCTCACTACTTCGTCTATGCCGTTTATCTTGTTCTCGTTCTCTGTCCCGTTGACGTTCTTTATCTCCATCATGACTGCCCCTGTCCCGACTGCTCCTTTCTCGGCTGCCTCTATCTCTACTTCCTTCATTCTTTCGACCCCTACGGTCTCTACTGCTACTTCTCTGGCTATTTTCTTTGTTCCAATTTGATTCTTCCTTTTCTTCTTTTCTGCTGCCACTTCGACCACGTCTCCAGTCTCGCTCTGTGGTATCACGGCCCCGGCTGCCTTCATTGGGACGATTTACAGACTTCTGTTTCGCAGCATCCAGTTTGTCTCCTTTCAGCCAACGAGTACTACCTGCCCCATCCTTGCTCACAACAGTAGATTTGGTGCCATTGTCCAGTGGGCGAATTTTGTCCAGTTCACGGCGCCAGTGAGGTGGAGTGATGCTACGGTCTCTAAACCGCTGAGGGGTTTAAAAAAAAAAAAAAAAAAAAAAACACTTCACATGAAATGTACCAAGATTGTAAATATTAGTCAAAAGTGTACACAAATTTTTATTCTTAAAAACGCAAGTGGTTTTAGGTTTGTTGGGTGAATATTTTAAACTGCGATAGTTATTTAGCATTATTAATATGTGGGTTCAAGTCTCATGTAACCATTTTGAAAATCTAGAAAATACAAATTATATTATAAAAAGTCATATAAGAAATAAACAACTAGCAAACGTTTTTAATTGTGACAATTTCACAAATACCATTTTATGGCATGCACAAGTATTTAAAAAAAAAAAGTGGAGAAAATAAAATGAAACTGGTCCATGCAATGCCAGGTATCACTGCTAGTTTAAAAATAATATAACTGCTAATAACTATTTAATGGCATGATCTCCTACAGTTATTTATTCAGAGGAAATCAGTTAAGAAATCATTTTTAAGTTAACTAAATTGAAGTCATTAAGTATTACTTAAAATTACTGAATCCAAAATAAATTTCTATTTCTTGCATTTCCCATTAATTTTCAATTTTTCTTTAAAAGGATTTTGCATTAACTTTGCTACTTGAGACTAAATGTTAATATCAACAAAACATTTGTGGTTCTTAGAAGCAAAAAAATTGTTTAACATCTTCAAATATCTGTTAGTTTTATCCAGTTTATGATACATGCAATTTATTCCATATTCCCTTAAATTAAATTAGCCAGACATTTAAAAAAAAAAAAAAAAAAAAAAAAAAATTACCAACTAAGAAAGTGTTAGAAAAAAAATGAAGAGAAAAAGTTTTGTATGAATACTTACAAAGCTTCCTCTGCCTTTAATCTTACGTCCTGTATTGGAATACTTTGTTCGACTGTCGTAATTGCTCTCTGTACGTCTACGTGAACTTTGATTTGGTGGAGACTGGTTCCTTAAAAAAAAAAAAAAAAAAAAAAGATAAAAAAAGAAAGAAAAAAAAAAACAACTTAAATCAATGGTTTATTTTTAAAACGTGTGTGTGTGTGTGTGTGTGTGTGTGTGTGTGTGTGTGTGTGTGTGTGTGTGTGTGTGTGTGTGTAGAAACATTTATTTATAATACTTGCAAAATTAGGGAGATACATGTGGACATGGCATAACAGTAATCAACATAAAAAGTAGAATTGGTGAACAGGATTCAAATTCCAGCCACAGCAGTTTGTGCTTACTAATGCTCATCAAAAAGCTATGAATCTATCGTTCCAAATGGGTAAAGTCAAAGATTACACCTTGTAGCTGACCCCACACCAGTAGATGAATGGCAGGGCAGTTGGAAGCCTTCAAATACTGCAACTACAGCTTCCCAAACTGCAGTAGAAAGGTCAGTCAGTTAAGTGCCATACATGATACACACTTCAATCCAGGATTGACAAGGCAGATTTTCATGCAGCAGGTTGGCATTTCTTTTTGATGTCGATTAGCTGTCAACCAAGGCTATAGAACCCAGTCTGTCCTGATATTCAACCCATAGCCAGAGGGAGACAAAATGGATTCATACCTTCCCCAAGAGTAGTTACATGTAAGGGAACGTAACAAACTCAACCAGAATTCAAACTTGGCTCTCCAATTCCTCATTCTGAATCAATATTCATTATACTACAATGCACAGAATGGTACCAAGCCTAAAAGAATGGCCTGTGTGCAAAAGCTGATCTCCACTTTAAATAATCAGCACAGCTTTGCAATAGTCAGAGGCTATACTTTCTTCAAGGAACTGGGCCAAAATAAAGTACCATACACAATGAGTCAAAGAAACAACAACCCACTTAAAAATGATCTGGTAGTAGAAGCAATCTCCTCAAAATTTTAATATCCAGATGCTTTCCGGGAAGCTAATCAAGTAAGAGTTATCTGTACTTTACCCACAATTCTGAAGTAATACACTGGTCAACCTGTCATAAAATAGAGGTTGTGAACCTATGCTTGCAGAAGATTTTTCAAATAATGAACTGCAAGAGGTTCTTATGAATGGAACGATATTGGAGTTGCCAAATTTATCTGCACATTTGCAAGGTGTTACACATTTTTAACTAATCAAATTGCATATTTTGCTTGTGGTGATTCATAATTAGAATTCTGGTTTGAATATATTTTTATCTAATACAAAAAAATAGAACTTTATTTGAATTTATTCTTGAAATAGTTAAAATTTTGAAGTCAGTTTGTAAGCAAAAAAACCTGTGGAAATTAGGTATTTCTGTATATTTTTTTCAGATAATCTTTAAACTTAAATGCTCAAAAATTGATAAAAAGCTGAATCTAATTTTTGGGTGTCAGTACTTATCACATGAAACCCCAGTTTTCACAATGAGTGCAATGTTAATTTTCTAAAATAAAAAGTGAAAATTCAACCTGCACTAATGCCATATTATTATATTTCAAGTAGGGATTGCAGTTGTCTGTAGTCAGTATTGGTCTTACAGTTCAAGTGCCATTGCCACTACCTTATCATAATACATAATGTATATTCATACATACATGCTTATTAGTGGTAACTCTAACCAACCATTACTACAGAGGTAATCTATTCAATCTAGAGAGAGAGAGAAAAAAAAAGGGATATTAAAGTTTTTGTAATAACACTATGGATTTTAATGACAGATTCTTGTGGATCAGCTGATAAAAGGACCAGAGAAAGATTATCTTACAATCCAAGATGGATTGTAAGATAATCTTTCTTTGATCGTTTTATCAGCTGCTCGGAAGGTACAGGAAAATGAAAAAAGCTACTGTTTTTCTTTTTTCTTTATTGTTTTAGGTAATTATTACTTCTAATAACCAGTCTTAAAAAAATCTTAAGTCAAGAGACAAGGGCAGTTAAATACTGTATATCAGGTGTTTGCCAATCCTGTAAAACTTCAGGAAATTTCAATTTGAACCCTTTATTTAATCTATGTTGATATATTATTCCCATTCCACAGATAACAATAGTAAAGAGGGTGATGGTCCACATGTAATTAACATAAATACAATTCAGTTATTTGCTAAATATTCAACTCACTGGCAATATGTAGCAAACTTTAAGTTGTTTATTAATACACATGGATTTAACATTGATGTAAATATGTATCCATCACAGCAGTACAGTAAACCCTCAATTTAAGGAAGCACTCATGGATTACATGAGCCATAAGAAACTGATTTTTTTGTTTTACCGAACAAAGATAAATGCTGCAACAAATCATTCAGTGTTAAGATACAAGGTACAACAACACTGTTAACAATAAAATCAGCTAGAAATGAAAAATCTTGCAAATTCTTCAGCTATTTTTAAGGACAGTTTACAATATAAATAACAAACCCTACTTGGCAATAATTAGTGTTTATGAGAGTGAGACACCCATCTCAAGGTCACTGGCTTATTATAAATAACTGCTCTCAGTGACACTTGGGTGAGTATAGTGAAATAAAAATAAATAACATTTCTGGAAGGGCAATTCTAATAATGCACATGTATGGTTACAGCTTAATCTCTTTAGATAGATGCATGTCCAAACTGACACATTTTCATATCATTTTCAAATTGTAGCTAACAATCATGAGCAACATTTTTTATATATTTTCTCTTGATCAACAAAATTTACGTCTTCTTTATGAAATGAGGGATTTATCAGATGTAAGGAACACAATTCCCCAATTAGTTCTTTAAACTGAGGTTTTACTGTATAACAAAAATGGTCTAAAAGAGAACACCATACATGAATTTGCACTTATCTGCAGAGAATATATTCCAAGAACTCTAGTATTGAACTCAATATGATGTTTTTTTTTTGTTTTTTTTTACTATACATACATACCTGGGATAAAGCTTATTTTTATAAACTAGCTACAATAAGTAATAAAACAACAATTCCAACAATATATGTAATAAATGTTTATATAATGAATAGAAGATTTGATTTAAGCAAACCTCACTATACAATTACGATCCCTAATTAATTCAAGAACTGTTACCTTTTCACTTAAAGGAAACATTTTATAAATTTGGAAACATGTAGAAAATCTACATGTATCCAATGAATCTGATTTATTTATTTCCCCACCCAACTCTCTCTTGCAATTTCCAATTTGCTGCTAGTTTTCTATCACTATTTTTCTGTATGTTTTTTTTTTGTTTTTTTCTATCCAAACATTCATAACTGCTGTACAAGCTGACTACAAAATGGAGCCACTTCGCTTTACTGAGAACACTCAAAAAATTGGTCTAGAAAAGACATACAGGATCCAGCTGACGAATAACTTCAGTCAACTGTATACAGACATATACTGTATGAATTTCCTGGTGCCAAAGAGACTCCAGCCTCAAGAACAAACTCCAATTTTAAATTACAGAATTTTGAAAGGACAAAATATAGTTAATTAGGGGAGTGCTGTGAAAAAGTAAACTCTTGCCTATCAAGATGTATGGATGGATTTGAGGAGGTCAGCGTGCATTCCATCATCATTAATAACTTTAGGCATTTTAAGATACATGAATAGCACTGTTCCCTCCAAACATTTTTGGCAATCAAAGAATGACACCCATTTATTACATGGGATATTGTAGCAAAAACCAAATCCAGGGTTCTCACAGATCTGTGTAAAAAAAATTCCAGAACTTTTCCAGGACTATGTTAAGTTTCAAGGACTGAAATTGATACACACACAATGTGAATGCTCATCAATTTCAAAAACACAAATTTTGTGATTTATCTTTTAATAGTTTGACAGATGAGATGTTCAAAGAAAAGTTACAGTTGATTCCAATAATTCATGTCACAGGGATCAGTTGAATGCAGTGAAGAAATCAGGCACAACTGAATGCAGACCTGTGGTTATGTTACACATTTTGTGTAGCATTCTACACAGTTTGGAGTTCTACTACACTTGAAAATTTTGAATTACACTTTAATTCTTACTGCTACACATTTCAGTTATCTAGACTACTTGTGGTTTGTGAATCTCAAAATTTCTTGACTGTTGTACATTTCCTGTGAAGTATAATGGTTTTAATGAACAGAACTACAAATAGCAATTTTCACAAAATGACAAGACATTTTACCTACCCCTATTACTCATGGCTTTTGTTGCACATGGCACAGAACAATAAAATTACATTTTTTCATCTAGTTTAGTATTCAACTTCTCTTCCAATTTTGATATTTTTTATGTATGTCCTTTGCAAATCTTTGCATGGCATTTGACTTTGCAATGTGTGAAGTTCTGAGTCTGCATAGCTGTCAGCTGACTTGAGCAAATCTTGTGTGCAACTTTCAAGCTTGTGTTTTTTGATCTTTAGTTCTTCAATTTTCATAAGCATGGATTTCTGTTTTTGTCCAGTTGCTCCTTCCTGCTGTTTTTTCTTCTTAGCCTCAAAGTATTGGTTGTATGCTGTTCTAGAGAGAAGAGCTTTAGTCATGGGAACATTCCCAGCACCTACAAATGTGGCCAAATATAGTCCATGATAATGCACTGTGCAACCAGAATCTGCTATTTCATATTGTCAGTGGAAATTTCTTTATTGACTGAGAAACCTCTCTCCACTGAAGCCTGTTCATGAGAGAGTATAGCAATCTGCGAACAACTTTCCAGTTTCTGATATTCTGTTGCTAGACAAATAAGAGTAGAACAAAGTGTCCAGATGGTCTTTATACTTGCTGAAATTCTTGGAAGCAATGTTTCCAGCAGCCTCCTTCTTGAACTCTTGTACTGACTGACGATATCATCACAATCAGACTTGATGACTTGTTTTGTGTTCATCATGTAAGAAAGAAATCTTTTTAAACTGTCTTCTGTGGTAATTTATTTTCACAAATGGATCCAGGGTACTTTTATCTACTTTGCCAATAGATTTTCAATGATGGTGATGAACATTGTTGCAATTCTATATGCAAACAGATCTTTTGTTGACATTTT